TTTTAGTAAGCTGGTTGTGGGAGGGCAGGGATGAATGAGTGTGATTGACCACAGTGCCATCTCTAACGCTGGCACCCTGCCTAAGCTTTGTACAAAATGGAGCAGAGTGCAGGCGAGCAGCTCATGCCAGGTGGAAACATCGGATGCATGGGCACTGAGTCACGGTGCTCAACATGCCCCCAGGAAAGCATCAGACTATCAAAAACTGGAATCTGAGTCTTTTCCTGCTTCCCGTCCCTATAACCACAGGACTTTGATAAGCTTTAGAAAAGCCATTAAATATTTAAAAGCTTCCTCCGATCTGTTGTTGGATGTTGGGAACACAGAAACAACCACATTTACACAAAACAAAACACAGACGACCTCGTTGACTTGCACATCATCACCACAGTCAGTTTAGCTCCTTCTTACAGCCAACAAATAGTCTCTGTATGACCCGGCACATACAGCCTGTGTGCTGTGTGTTTTCCCCTCTTTATCCCCTCACAACTGCAATGACTAAGCCAGCAGGAATTTCTACCTTATACACTTAAAAAGGGGCAGACTCACCCCACCAAACCCAACCTGCTGAACATACACCTAAAAGTAATAAACATGGCTCTTAGTGAGCACATTCACAGCATTGTTTCTGCACAGTGATGACCTCACGCTCGACAACAAAAAGTGTGAGCTGTGTTGTACCAGCAGAAATCAATTTACACAAACAAGCCCCATGGAAGGTTTAACAGTCAAGCCTGTTTAACTTCTGTAATGTTACTTTGAATCTTTCCTGCACAATAAATGAAATGAAGGTGAAATATTCTGTTTTTTAAGTTAGTATTTTTGCTTTAATATCTGTTTTATTACATTAAGAATCAGTCAAATTAGAAAAATTAAACAAAACATTTCTTAATAACTGGTGGCCACGTCACATAAATCTTGTGATTTTTTTGTTTTATAGACTATATTTACCAATGTGATGCAAAGGCTGGAATCAACCTTTATTTTTCTTTAGTGCTGAAGTGCCAAAACCTATTTAACATACATTCTTAAATGAAAATGTTGCACATGGGGAGATGTCCTTTTATGCAATTAATAAAATGTAGTTTACACAATATAAATTCTGACATTTTTTCCCAAAGGTTAAAATCCTCAGCAAGAACCAGTGGACCGCTTAATGCTGAAGTTAAACAACACATAGTTTGTTTTGTAAACTGCAGAACAAAAGGAGACACCAGAAGGAGTAGAAATCTGCGACTATCTGAACCTGCTTACCCTACAGTAACAGCATCTTACAAAAGAGACTGTTTTCCCCCTGCTGTGAAGTGGGCTCAGGTCAGAGCACTTAGACCAGAGATATCGAGTGGGTCTCTGGCAAGGACGAAGTAAACATGTTATCAAATGCAAAAAGTCTCCCAGGCCAGTGGAGAGCTCTTCCAACTGCCACAGGCTCCAAAATGTTTTAGTTTTCTTCTGGGTTCAGCACAAGGACATCACAGAGCACAGACTGTCTGCAGCAGAACAGGACAGCAGGTCCCCTCACGCCACATTTCATCTCACACAACTATGGATCAGACTCTAATATGCAAACTGACAACACGACAATTGAGCTTTAGTTTTGATTTCTCAAAAAGCAAAAGGTTAGTGACGATTTTTACGGACTTAACATTTCTCTCTCCATATATAAATACAACATTTAGGACATGGTGTCCTTTCGAATCAGGCAGCAGGAGGAGGTAAGTGTTAAGAAATTAGATCAGAGTGCCATTGAGGTTGTTCGTATTGTAAGCTAATATTCTATCACATAAAAGGAGACATGTGAGCTATGTGAGGACGAGCGAGTGTGAGAGTGTGTGCCTTCCTGTGGAGCTATGAAGACTAACCTGCCCTGAGAGCGGGCATGGACACAGCAGCATTTGAAAATCTTGTCGTCTATCTGGTTTTGGCTCAAAGCCAAGGGCAGAAGGCAGGCCTGTCTGCAGCAAACACAGAGACCTGAGGACGGCGATTTGAGGGAAGCCAGACACTTTTTAATGTCACAAGATCGCCCCCCACCCAAAAAAAAAAACTCAAAGCAAACAGTGTGCCGTGTCAGAGGATCCAAGGCCTCGGCCAAACAGGCCGTTTGGCTGTGACCACTGCAGTGATGAGAGAATGTCTCCGACAAGTAAACAGAGCAGAGCTATCTGACAGCCAGAGCTGTTAACAGCCCCCTGATAAGCCCTGCAGAAAAGGAGTGAGGTGAAAATAGAGGAGGAAACACCAGCAGACCAGCTGACAAGGACAATCAGAGATGAGATCCAGGCTGAGGCTAAGCCAAGTGGAGAAAACAAGCGTGGAAAGAACAGACAAGACGGACTTGAAGAAGGGAAGAAAACAGGAGCACAGGGAAGAGAGGGAGGATTTATGAGGAGGTGGCGGAGGAGGAGGGAGGAAGCAAGGGGAGTGACGGGAAATTTTTTTTTTCAACCCTCCGAGCCTGCCGTCGAGCTTGTATACTTGACATTTGTCTGACATTTCCCCTGAGTGCCCCTCCTCCTCCTGCGTGTGGTTCCTCAGTCAGGGCCTCTCTACGCATCACTGCCTGCCACTAAAAAGGCATCCAGAACCTCTGCTCCAATCTGTACCACCCTGCATCGTCACTCCCACTCACTTCAAGTACAACATTAACCTGGCTTATCCTGTCCAGCATTGTATTGCTGCTCCCCTCTACTCACCCCCCCCCCCCCAACACATACGCACACAAATCTGTTATGGGAAACTGTTTCTGCTGGGTGGAAAAACATGTGGAAAGAGGAGTTTTTGTTGTTTCTCCATGAAGCACTACAAGGCCCAGAGGCTAAAGTAGAGTGCAGGGCAGACATCTCTCCCTCCTCATGTAGCGTAATTAAAGAGGAGACCGGGCTGTATTGACTAAAAAACCGCTGAATGCCCTTGAAGGAACATCTGTACTGGAGAAAAACAAGGCAATTATGCAGAGGGGAGGGGGAGGAGAGATGAATGTTAAGCAGGAAGAAGACAGAGAGACACATGAAGCTTTAAAAAACAAAAAAACAAAGACAGGGTGGGAAGTGATACCTGTGCATGAAGCCTGGAATATTAATTCACCTTAGAGACCTGATCTAACTTCAATCTGTCCTATTAATACTTCAGAAACTTTTCTCATAGTGAAAACCCCTTTTTTAAGACATTCCCATAGAGGGACATACATTTCTAAATTCCCAAAGCCTTCTGTGTGGATCAATTAATCAATAGCAACATGCAGGGAGCTCCAGCAGGGCAGTGTAACCAAGAACAAACAGAGGCACAACAATAAACACCATAGTTTTCCTATAGAAACAGACCTGGTCACCAGGGAAGAAACACAAGCTTGATTTCCACTATTTGTTCTGAGGGTCCCCGGAGATGAACCAGGGTGGTGTTTGACCCTGAGAGCTGTACACAGGTCTTCAAAAGAAAAGCTCTGGAGGGATATTTTCCCACCGTTACTTCACAATGATGACAGGACAGAGAAAACGGGAGAAGACCAGGAAGTCTGCAACAAGGTTTCTGGGACAAACGAAGTTCGACTAAATAAAAGCTTTCATAGATACAGTATGTCATGGATTTAAAAACAAAAAAAAAAAAGGAAAATACAACAAAATGCTAAAAGCTGCCCAATCAATGTAACCCTCTGAATGGAGCATAGCAACATCTGTATCTGCATCTATCGACTGAAAGCAGTCAAAAGGTAGAAGGTAATCCATCCTATCTTATCAGGTTGTTTAAATAGCTGAAGCTCTTTATTGCGATGTTATTGATACAGTAGCATAATGATTTTATAGCATTCACAATGTTCTCGAATACCTTCAAAGATATTTTAATCGAGTGGAAGTGTTTAGCAATAAAGAGAAGTAAAAGCCTTAAGGATTTTTGTGATTACCCTTTCGACTGTTGAGATGGGAGATTGTGTGTTTTTATTTAAAGTGCAGTCTGCAGAGGAATGTGAACTTCTGATAAAAAATATCAATGGCCCTTTTGTGTTTGAAGAATAATATATGTGGCCTTGGCTGCCACAGTGAAAAATTATTCACAACCCCTGCCCTCTGCGCTATTCGAGAAGAGATACAAATAAAGCACAGAAGGCCTTTAGAAGGGGAATAAGCTTTATGTGTTCAGACAGCTGCGAGAAAAAAAAAAAATATGGTAGAAAATTGTCGCATTTTTTCGCCAGAAAGCAACAAAACATTTCTACCAAAAACCATAAAGGCTGAAGTGTCTTACAAAGGCTTGCACTGCCTTCAGTAGTGGTTTTGAAGAGGAACATGACAGCTGATCCGGTTGTCCTAGTTTCTTATGAAAAAGCACTAGCTGTCCCTAGCTTTGAAATCTGAGAGAAAAAGAGGGATGAAAATATGTAATGTTGGTACAAGCTGCGACTGTTTTTTTTTTTTCTTCTAACAGCTACACAAATGATGGAGAAACAGAGGTAACAGTTATAACTTAATTCCAACTTGCAGATCAAGAGGAAAAATGATGTGACCCTCCTCTGAACTGCTTTCAAAACTCCATGACCCTAACACAGGTCTGACGTTAAGCAAGGACGACTCTCCCTGGGATTCTTCAATAAACCCCCTTTAAATAAATTGAAAAAAAAAATAAAAAAGTCCCTAAGGCAAATATTTAACTGACATGGTCCAGACAGGTAGACCAGCTCATTTCTTGGAAGAGCAACTTTAACCTCAACCCAGTATGCCTTCCTAATACCTGGCACTCTATATTGCAGCCATCCTTCACTCCACAAATAGCCTGATCTGAAGACAAGGTCTCTATAATGAACAGAGAGGAAATGTTTGCACTGGCCCGTGGACAATCCTCGCAGCCTGACGGAAATGAAGGAAAAACACTGCGCAGATTCATGGGATTTGTTCGCTGGTGAAAAACAAGCAGTTTGTTTATGTGACTGGAAACCACCTACCTAGATCAAAGTCAAATCTGATTTTCCCAAATTCCTATCACTAAAGATCGCTCAAACACTGCAGCTATTTAACTGATGAAGAAAACATGACCTTTAAAAGGCATCCCTGACATTCATAAGTACGAAACAAAGCCCAAAACTTCACATTACCTTTCTGGCACTTGGTGGATGTCCAGCAGCGGTAGTCGTACTTGTCATTGATTAACGTCCTCTGACAAAGAGGGTTATCCTCCATGATGCCCGGGCAGACATTATCACACTCCTTTGATTTCTTATTCTCATTGATAACATTGTTGAACTCAGCATCCATAATGAGAGACCAGTCCACCGAGTCCAGGTAGCAGAGCTCAGGGTTCTTCTCAATCCGCATGGCGCCCCGGGTGATGTTCCTAAGGTTGTACAGGCCTATGTCCTTTAGGCTCGTCATCTCGTAGATCACCAGGGCGTAGTTGTAGAAGAGGTTTCGCCCGCGGATGACGCTCAGGTTGGGGAAGAGCGTGCTGAGGCTGTCCAGGCCCGTGACGCGAAACAGCAGCAGGTAGTCGGTGATGACGGTCAGCTTGGGGAAGCTGAGGGAGCTTAAGACTTCCTGTTGGACGTTGTTGGTTTTCTCGATGATGAGGAGGATCTGCAGGTAGCCCTCCACCACCGTGCAGTTCTCCAGCCGCTTGAATTCGCTGATCTCATTTCGGATGTCGATACTCGGACCACAGACTGAAAGACACAGAGAGACAACGTGAACATTTCTCTACTTTTTCTCAAAGAAAAAGAAACGTGAAGTCGAAGAGAGAGTGCAACAAATTCTCTTCTTTAACAGAATTGAATGCAAAATACAGTACAGCTACATATAGATTAGCATTAAGATTACTATTGCCAAAAGCTTTTAATTATAATAATCTTCTTGTAGCATATAATCCTGTTAGTCAAGATGATAAGGGTGCTACTTGTGATACATGCAGTTAACGCAGAGCTGTGAAAGACAGCGCGCGCAGTGCTGGAACATCATGTCTCCGCATGGTTTCATAGAAGTTCATGTTTGTTCCCAGTGTTCTCTCAGGCCAGCTTTTGACTTTAACAAGAGTGATTTCCTAACATAAAAGTTCGCTGAGCAGAGGATATTTTTTTTATATTAAAAGGTTACTGGGGGGGGAATTGAACAAAAAACCGTGCGTCTCTCTGTCCATGTTGTGACTGTCACCTCAGACAACCCCAACGTCTGAATCAGAAATCCTACTGTGCAAACAACACCTGAGGCCACATAAAACATCAACACACACAATCGACAAAGACGTCATCTATTATTTATGGATCTAATAATGCCTATCAATTGCTTCACATGGGAATTAATAATAGGCGGAGTGTAATCATAATGTTTATGGGTTGTTAATGAAGTGGCTGTGTTTACTTTTATTGTCTGATGGAGAACATACTCAACGTCATAATTCATGTACCAACATTTTTAAAGGCATGTTGTTTTATACTTTAGACAAATTTAAAAAGTGGGTACTAAACATGATTGGTTATTTACAGCCTTTATTACAACTTCTAACAATTTCAACCACTAATCCAGTGTTTTCCAAGTATCCGTTTCCACCTATAAGCTTTCTATGACCTGTTTTAAACCTTTACCCTGCACTTTAACCATGTATCTACAAGTACAACGCTTAGCATTTTCACTATCTTGTACCCTTTGTGTAAACAAATGAGTTCACCCATTTTTAAAATCACTTTCATCATTATTTCAATAATTTATCAGGGAGGTGATCAGTATTATCTCTATTTCCTCCTTACTACTACAGCCGTTCCAAAAGGCTTTAAAGAAATCTGTAGCAAGACAAAAACATATAATAACAGAATCATAACAACAGAATTGAGAAATACAACTGGTTGCATATTATTGTGAATGCCTAAAAGAAGGTCAGCACAGGAAATGCCTTGACATATGAGCTCCTTGGTTAAACCTGTTAAGTTCTTACAGAGGCTTAAGATGCTTTCGCAGTGAGCAACACCGTCACGTCTCCTGTCCAATGAGACAAACTGGCATGTTTTCAAATCAGAGCTTTTGAGACCAGTCAAAACACTGACCAATGGCACGGGGATAAAAGGGAAGAGCTAAACGTTTTTTTAGGCCAAGAGTACATTATTTTTGGCACAAAAATTGGAAATGTGTTCTAAAAATCAGACAGAAGTTGCTCTACTTGGGTTATAGTCAATCATACAATGTGGCGTGCTTTCAAAGTGTCCCTGAAAGTAGACTAACTCCACTTCAGCGGAGGCAAAAAAAAAAAAAAAGGCCATGTTTGATGTTCTTTGTCGAAACCATTCTGCTAAAAATAGAAGCAGCATTGTTTTGGGGGATGAATGGTCTATATTTGCTGCTGACAGGGTGTTTCACTCCTCCAAATTTAGAACGGAAGCGATTAATCCAGTAGAAAATAGTATTTGCTTTCTCCAATCAACACCAATGCCCCTGGGCTCCACTTGTGAGCCATCGAACTGCATGTCTTCTTTGTTTCATTGAGAATTTTCTTCCAGCTTCTCCGGCAGCCGGAGTGGGAGGGAGGAGGGGTGGAGCCACTCAAATACAAAGACTAATTTGTTTGTTAGTAAAGAGAAACTCTAGGCCCTACTTCCTGATGAGGGCATTAATAAAATCGGGGGCGTCTGGCAAGGGAATGGAAGGGGGGGGGGGGGAGCCGAAAGAGATACTGTGTCAAGGGGAGAGAGAGATAAGGTTTCTGCCAAGCAGAGCTATCAGAGGCCATTCTGCTGGTCTAAAACCAAGACAAACATAAACCTCTAAATGCTCATAATGTAATCCTGACTGCTTCAAATGTCACTCAGATATCACTGCTTCTTAACTCATCACTTGAGATTAATTAATACTCCAAACACCCTTGAAAAAGGAAAACAGAAGAATGGAAGAGAAAGGAATGAGGAAAAGAAAAAAGAACCATCTCTTTGTGACTCTTGTTCTTCTCATTAGGCATGATAAGTAGAAGGAATTCCAATCATTTCCTTGGAAAGGGATTGAGTAGGATGTTGCCTCAAACTAAGCCTCAAGGCTTCTCTCTTTCTTGCAGGAAATCCATTTGTTGTGAAGACAACAATGCTTGAATAAGCTTTGGATACCAAACCTCTGTATTCATTATTACGTAAACAGGAAGAAATGGAGGGAAAAGACGTAAAGACCTGAGAGTGATGTGGATATTTTAAGTGCCTGGGTCAGAACAGAGTGGGTACAAGCCTGTGTGTGTGTGTGTGTGTGTGTGTGTGTGTGTGTGTGTGTGTGTGTGTGTGTGTGTGTGTGTGTGTGTGTGTGTGTGTGTGTGTGTGTGTCTCCCCCTGCTCTCTCTCCCTCTCTTTCTTTGCTCTTCACACTGCTGAGTAAACACACATATCTCCACAGCGTAAGGGGATCCATCGGCTCATGTTTATGATTGATAAACCTTGCCCTGGCCCTCAGTAGAAATGTCATCACACAGACACATACACACCTGCACATGCACATGCACAAACACAAATACACTCAGGCACGACCTGGTGTAAGTTTGGCAAATTAAGCCAAGGCTAATGGGTCTCTCTTTATCGCAGCTAAATATGAACGCAGATAAAGGTTAGATAAACATCACCTTTGTGTTTAGTAATGCTAACTTCAATGAGGCCAGAAAATGTCCACAGAAATATCTATTATTTTAAGGTTTAAATATCAGGATTTTGTGAAATGATAGCTCCGATAGTTTATTTTAACTACGATATCTTATCTTAATTATTTTTCCAATTACTAATATGTCATGCTGAAACGCCATGTTTTGGATTCGATTTAAGGACAGCTTTGCCAAACAAGATATAAAACAGAGTTAAAGGTTCAAAAGGTATTGTTTTTTTAATCCAGTGTAGCCTACTGTTAAGGTTCCAAAATCATTTTAATTGTTGTAATATCTGCTACATTAAATTATATTTTTAACACTTTAAAGTTGGATAAGCTCTTGCAAAGCACTTCCTTTTAATTCATGTGAGATTTAGACGAGTGGCATCGATAAAAGACATATTATAGTCAACAATTAACTCCCAAAACTTAAACATGTTCATTTTAACCATGATTAAAAAATTAAAAAAAGCATTAGAATAAAACAATTCCAATAAACTCCAACAGGAACTGAAGCAGCAAGGGAGCTGGTCACCGAGCAGTCGTATCCCCTCACACCTGCCACATCAACGGGCCCTAATCCGCAGCATACTGGAAGTCATCTGACCAGCGGTCTGGTGGGCCACTTCCCCTCAGTGGACCTTACTTCACACAGTGTGGCTCAGATGTCAGCAAAACCCCAAACAGTAACACTACACTGCCCATCATAACAACTACAACCACAAATAAAATCCCCCAACATGAGGGGAAAGGGGGCAGGGGGGGGGGGGGGGGGAATGTACAGAACCTGATCACTTTGAAGAAAACCTTTAAACTGACTTTTTAATAACAATAATGAAATATAGTTACAAGAAATCTGTTAAAGCAAGACATGACAGACATGCTGCTACTTTAAAAAGTCCTTACTACAGTGTAATGCCACATTTCTATTCCTGCTCCAAAAGTATTTTTGAATTAATTCCTGTGATTGGCTAATGCTTGATATCCTACATGCACACTCCAAATAAACGATAATGTATGAGAATATTTCCCCCTGTAGATCAATTTATAAACTTGAATGTAACTGTTCTTAACAGTGCTCTATCTTAACTGGTTATATGTATATATATTTTTTGTATTTGTTCAGTTTATTATACTACCAATGTTATGGAAATATTACACTACCCCACTGATTCCTTTAGAATTAAATGAATCAGTGAATTAATTTTATAAAGTGTTAAATTCAGAAATTATAAGTGGAATAAGGAGTTTAATAACAGGAGAAAGAAAATTTAAGGACTTGTTTTAATTTTGAAAGGTTGTTTTTTGTTTGATTAGTATAAAATTCCCTAAGGTGCTGACTGCAAAACAAAAATGAAAACAAAACAGTTTTCCTATGATGCAGCCATTTGTGCAAAAACACACAAGCTCCCATGGAATTTCACACAATAACTTGTCGTCAACATGGGTTTATAAATCAAATTGAAGAGAACAGCTCAACTAAGTGCCAATTTCATTTGTTAAACTATTTGAGAAGAATCTGAAGTGGAGCTGCACAATTTCATCCCGATCTCAATATAAACTTTGGCAATTAAAACATTGCAAAAGTCTAAATTTGTTGCAATTGAAATACGATTTTCTGAAGTAAACAAGAAATGCTTTCTTAATTAGCATGCATATATTTGACCTTTTGGATTGATGCCTGGGTATTTCTAACATTTACTTACCCTGAGAATGCTTACTGCTCGATTAATAACAGTATACCAACATTTACATCTTCTACTTGGATATTAAAAGCAGCCTGACACCCAAACGTACTCATAGTGATGATGAAACCATCACCATCTTGATAGAATAGAATAGAATAGAATAGAACTTTGCCTCATGAATTCTCCGCTCAGGACAGATCCACATTAACTCTTTGATAACCAGCTTTTACTAACATGGTGAGTGCTGTCCATTAGAAGAGCTCACATTTGCAATTACCTCACAAATTGAAACAATACTCTACGGGCCATTAAACTAGCAGCCAGTGATGATGTATGTGCGGCTGGCCAGAGACTGCATTTGAGCAAATCCAATGACAGACCACTTGAAATAAAGTGTTTAATTAAGCATTGTAAACCTCAGCTGGCAGCCTGCAGGAGCTGCAGGATGGCATTCGAATACACTCGCACAAACTAGCCCAGTGACACACTTTCACATCCTCACACAGGGGCACACCACTGACTCAGGCTGTCACACTGAGTCCTGCTGCAAAACACACACACACACACACACACACACACACACACACACACACACACACACACACACACACAGATGCACAATGAACTACTTACACACTCATACACACAGCAAAAGGCTCGAACACTCACTACTCTCTATCGCCAGGGGTGAGTCAAGGCATTCCTGCATCCAGCCGAGCCACGGGTAAGGGGGGGAGGGGAACAAATAGTGGAGGGAGGGTGTGTGGGTGTGTGGGTGTGTGGGTGTGTGTGTGTATAGAACCATGTAGCCCCAGTCACAAGATGGAGATGGGACACCTTGGAGTAGAGTGACAGCAGTCATATCTGAGCCACTTGCTCCATCGTGACAAGGAGATCTGCACCGCAACCCACCGGAGACAAAAGGGTAAAGGTGGGAGGGCCGGCCTGTCAAACACAATACTCGCTGACGTTTGATTATTTAAGCTGCCATTCAAGTTTTCTGGAGCAACACGTCCCTTCATAAATAACTGAGCAGGAACACTGGAGTGCCCTCATGGAACAGGACAGAGGATGCCTGTACTCACACAACCCCTGAGCCAATGTTGCTGGTGACAAATCTATTTATAGCACTAATAGTAGTGATGCCAAGTGATGAAGTAAAAAAAAAAAAAAAAGTGCATCAGTCCATACCGGAGGGCGCTCCTCTGTGTAGACAGCTAAAAGCCAATAAAACAGTACATAAACTCTCTACTCTTCCAATCAACAAAACCAAGTCTGTTTCTCGTGCAAGTGTATTTTTGCACGTTCTATTTCCAAACACCAAGTCTGTATCTCTCCCTCGCTCTCCCTCTGTAACCTTTTGAGACTTGTGTGCACCATACTTGGAAGCATGGCATGGAAAGTTAACTGTGGTGAGAGTTAAAAGGGAGCGTAATTACATTTTATATGTGTGGACGGATTATCAAAACAGAAAAGGCAACAAAAAGAAAAATGTTTTCACCCCTTATTGAGACTTTTTGAGATATCTGTAATTTTCCACTAAGTGATGACAGAAGCTGGAAATTCTGACCCTCTCTACAGGCTATTGAAGCACACATTCTTTCGTGAGTGATCAACTGATGACACCCAACTCTTTCTTCTTCTTCTCCGCCGCCACCGTTGTCTCTGAAGTATTTGTTCTGATGTATTATAAACCAGGGAGCTCAGAGATCTAATAAACAGCAACTTGTCTCCCAGCCCCCCTGCTGTGTTCATGGGTGTGACACTGGCTCAGGGTAGGTGCAAAGAAATGCGCCCCCCCCCTCCTACATGGCTGCATTAGCATCACTGCTCAATGAGACCAAAAATGATGTGGGGTTTTTTTTCTACTTCTATTTGGATGCTAATAGAGGTCAGTCACTGTGTCTCCTTCTCGTGTCAAGTTGCCTTCCCCTTCACACTCTCAGAAACAGACAAATTAGGTTAAACTGAAGTGAGGTAACAACCTAAACACAGAAACCCAAACAAATCATGGCTCGACCCCCAAGTTATGCAGACACACTACACCAACGTTTGTGTTCAGGTTTAGGGGATGCAACAGGAGATGCCTCAATGACCAGCAGGTAAAATGAGAAATGTTTCTTAGAGGATCAGGTCTTTGACTTATTGAGCAGAGGCTAATCTAAATATTTCCATCACTGACATATACAGTATATAACCAGGGGAGCAATTTGTACAGATTTTGGCTATTTAAGAAACTCCTTTGTCCTAGTTTCAACAAAGAAAATTAATAGGACTTATAACTTAACCCCAATTATATAGTTTATATATTTTTTTAAAGTTCAGAAACAGTGTTATGGAATAGACCAAATCATTGTTAGATCGGGATTGATCATTTAGACACATTTCTCTGACATGCCGTATACTGCTGTTCATCGCAAAGCAGTAACAGCATTTTATGTGCTTAGCAATAAAAAAATAATAATAAAGCAGCCCTCATTTACCCTGATTATACAAGCTTTTCTGTTTTTATAATGGCCAAAAAAGCAGCTTTGATTCTGGCTGTTATTTACAGAGTATTAAGACAGACCTTGGATGAGTAAACTTAATAATGCTTGCATTTCTGAACCACCAAAACTCATCACTAGAAAAAGACATGTTTCAAACAAACATACAGTTAAAGCATGAAGAGTTTCTGAATTCTAGGGAACTCCACACTAAAAAAGAAAAACACACACCCACTAATAAGAATAGATTGACAAAATTAAAAACAACGAATTACTTCACTTGTATCTTTTTACAACTTTAAGCTGTAGTTTATATTTTCAAGAGACGTTCAGGCTGTTTCTTAAAGCCTCCAAAAATAGAAAGTAAGATGATAAAATCGGATTCAGGTGTGTTTTAAGTCTAACTTTAAGACTTTCCATATGAGAAGAGATTACAGCTGTGTGTTTACAGAACACGGGCTCCGGGGATGAAATAAGCAGCCTATATACATTTTATTCACAGTGAATAATGTAAATGGCAGAACGGCAGATCTTTTCTATTTTGTTGCTTTATGTGACGTCCTTCAAACAAGCAAATGTTCAGCCTGCTTCAGGTTGTTCATGCGCAGCGACGCCTCACCACCAAATGCAAAATGGCCACATGGTCGTAGTAACCTTCAGCTCTGGTCTTTGGATTCATCCTCTGCTTTCTGACTCTCTGGCGTGAAGTTTAAACGCGACACGTATCGAGTGTCTGTCCTTTTCACTAAACAAATCAGAGGGCTTCATCACACGAGGTGCTTATTGCGCAGAATAAATGAGATTTTGCGTAATAGTGTTCATCCAGTGACGGACAGCTTTAGCTATAGCACATGGTCCCTCAGCTAATATACAAGTGGAAGGTACACGTCGGTGAGATGCATTCTCATGGCGTTTATCCTCAGAGAATAAGTCGAAATGTGCTTAAAACATAACCCCCGATTTCTGTTTGAATTAACATAAACATTTTAATACATTTTTTAACCCTCCAGTCATAAAAACACAGCTTAGGAAGAGGTTAAACTGGGTAACAGAGCACACTGTGTACTGAGTCTGCTCTTTCCCTTTTAAACGATACTATTGCAACACAAAATGTTCAATACACTTCTATAATAAGATAAGAAACTTACTCTCTCCATGTGTGGACCAGATGCAGATGGTGGAGACAGACAGCATCAGACCCCAAAACAAGGTCGGTGTGTCAGATCTCATGTTCTTTAACATTATTCGTCTTCCAAAAAAAACAAAACACTTTAGGCTAAATGCAGTGACTAGTAGCCTACACACCTTTTTCTTTTCTTTTTTTTAAAAAAGAAACCTTTAAAAAAAAAAAAAAGGAGAAAAAGGGGGAAACAAATGTAGCCCAGAAAGCTACAATGCGCTACAAATGCGCTGTTTCCGATTGTAGGATGATTGGCTCTATAAAAAAATAAAATAAAGCCTAACTGTGTAGGCTGTAAATCGTAAGAACAGAGAGTTCCAAAAACAAAAAATGCTAAAACAGTCTGCTATTTTTGCCAATCACAAGATACTTTGATGTCGGTTGGTATGGCACACAAGCCAGTGATTTTTCCGGATAAATGATGGTAATCCCCATCTTCAGTCTCCATCTCTTGAAAACAGCAGTGCGCCCACAGTGCTATCAGGCCCGGTGTTTGTCCAACAAGAAATTTAAAGATTAGATTGTTTGTTTTGTTAGCAGCCTTTTCCCAGCATTATAAATAATCGCCAGTGTCGCTCGCCTGAATGCCTGTGTACGAGGGGAGGAGAGGCTCTGAAAACGCGTCCAGATCCACAGGGGTGGTGGCTGGGAGGCTGGAAAAATGAATGAAAAACCCTCCTTTTTCGCTTATGCCATTCAAGCCAGCAAAGGCTTCTCGATCAAAGTAGGGTTTTTTTTTTAAACCGGTTTCCCAGCTCCTCTTGCTCGGACTTAGCTCCGCCGTTCAGTCGGGATTTGAAGCTGAAAGAAAAACAGCAGACTTGTGCCACGCAGGAGAATGGGTCTCCAGCTCTTTTCCAGCTAGACGACCTCGGCTGAGGGTGGGAGGAAGGGAGAATAAAAAAAAAAGAAGTTGTCCCTTTTTCTTCTTCTTCTTTAGAATGTATCCTCTTTTAAAAACGAGAGAGTGCATAAACTACCCCTTTTGCGTGTATATCCAGGGGTGGGGGGGGGGTGGGGGGGGGCCGATATTGAAGCGGTTCGCCCTCCGTAGCAGCAGCAGCAGCAGCAGGGCTGTGGGTCTCCGCTCCTCCGTGGAATCTCTGCTGTAAACAAGAGTCGGCTTCTCTCACTCAGAAACACATAGTGCTACGGATAAGGTGGCCGGGGACAGGACGAAAACACGGAGTGGATTTCTGAACCCCGTGTGTTCCCAAATCCAAATTGGCACTTTTAGTTAAACCGTGCAAAACACTCTGGGTACGGACTAGACCCCCCCTCCCCCCCTGAGTTGCAGCCCTTTAATAGTGTATCCCTCCATTTAGTCAATTAAATCTAGTTTCTATAGGATACTGCGAGGAGGACTTGGATGTGGACACCGTTTCTGAACGTCATGAGTTTCTTTTTATGTCTAGCTGGTTGTAACAAACAATTTGATTGGACTAGAGGCACTCCGTGTGGCTCTGATATTATAGGACCTACAGTAGCTACAACAGCGACGAGACTCACAACAAGATGTATCACTCCGCGCAGGTGATCAGAACACCGTTAGTTAGGATAAAAGCCAAATGATTATTTTGTCTAGTTCGACCTCTTACCTCGGAAAATCCCACGCCAACAACTTAACTGTCAACAGACTCTTGTTTCAATAGTTGCACGACAAATGGAAACATGATTTGTATTTAATATCAGCGCTGCTTTGGACATCTGCTGCTATTCAGCTATAAAAAAAGTCAAACAATAGCCTATATAGGCATCTTGTGACACAAGATAATTACTTTAAGGGCTCCATAACAAAGCTGTTCCTCAGTTTTTGGTAGGTCTTCATAAGTTTGTCTGTTAGTTATCATGTGGTTTCAAACCTTTACCAACTTTTTAAAAATATATATTTTCACATTTGATCTTCTTTATGATTGTTAATGGTTACTTTATTGGATTTTAAATCTCTTCTTTTTATGTGTTTTTTTTTTAAAGTCTTGTGTCTTGCTCAAAATGTGCTGAAATAAACTGGCATGACAAAAGGTTGCAAAATGATTGTCTTGGACCCATTGTACTAAATTCGGGAACATGAGATAGGCTGTTATTTTTCTCAAATTCAGTTTAACACTTTACACGAATAAAAACAAACGCCCAAATTGCTTACAGGTTACCAGGCATTGTGTCAAACAATATTGTCATGTGTTTCAAAATGGACACCTGCCCAACAAGATGATTTTTTTTAGTATAAGATTTGGGCTTTGTTTTAAAAAAAAAAAGTCTATTAAATGCAGTAAATTGTCAGCAGATGTGTGTTTTCAGTGCATCATTAACTGTATTAATATACAAGCATTTGGAATACAGTTTGTTCCTCTGACAATGTTGAGAGCAGTAGCTTCCTGTCTTATAAAATATCCTGGGGATAACTAGGAGGTTGGCTAAAAGTCTTGTTGTCAGTCAGATTTAGGGAGATAGCACACTATGTCCTGCCCTGACCGTGTTAGACGAGGTACAATATAACTTTGTTGGTTAATGCAACAACTGTATGCACACTGTGCTGTGTGGGATTAACATTGTCTGAGACTGTCCACCTTTGACTCAATAACTTTGTGTCTCGTGCTGCTTTATGGACTATTACATTTTTTTACAATGTGTGAGAGTTTTGATGTTAGGAATCTTGACTTGCCTTGTTATCCACATACAATCATCTGTGATTTGATAAGCTATACTCTTTACCTCTGGTTGTTGACAGCTTAATATCTTACACACCATCACAGTTGTTTGGAGTAAGGTTAAGGATTAACCATGGCTTCATGAACACAGTTAGATAGCGTGTTTAAGAAAGGGTCTGTTGTAATGCAGAATTTGAATGGGATTGGCAACATTGCCACGACTGTTTCACACATGATTTTTGAGGATTGCATTTGTTGTTTAAGTCACTTTTCAAAGTTGTTGAAAACCTTTTATAGCTTTGCGTATGACTATCAAATCTATTTTTGAAGTTAAAAAAAACAGACTTACATTTTCTACAGACTGTGAATTGGCACTAGGTGTTTAAAATACTATTTGGGTTGAGTAAAAAAGACAAGGCACTCAATTTAAGATTTATCTTTGGAAAGGCTAGATCCTCACTGAGAAATGAGTTAATGAGAAAAGAGAGGACAGCAACAACTGAGTAATTAAAAAAAAACTAAAAAAAATGTAATGTTATCCTAGTCTGTCTTTTTTCATATAGTCTATCTGGTTCCCAAGATTTGGCATTATTCTGTAAATAATCAGTTATTTCACAACAAATGAGAACATTAGTCCACCTGTAAAAAAAAACCTTGAGCACATTATTTACATCCAAATACCATTAAAACACCTGTTCCCTCAAATTAGATCTTTCCTGGGTTCTTAAAACTCTGATTGTTTTGTTTTAATATAAATAACACTTTTCATCAGCTAAACATGAAAAGTCGTCCCTGTAGTGATTAAATTTTTTCGTTTGTGTTTCACTTCTTTGATTTCTTGCCTATGGGTCAAAACAGGACTTTCTTCCAAACCTTCTGTACCGTCATGTCTATTTTGTGCACCGGAGCTGTACCATAGGTTACACTGCACACGACCGTCACAGGTCCGCGTTAAAACCTGACATGGAGCCTGATTCCGGGAACGAGCAGCTCCCAGCGTTCATTCATCCCACACACAGAACAGAAGCAGCTCGATACAGCGTGCGGGGGCGTCGCTGTTCATCGTGATTCCGTTTGATCCTCTGGAAGGAAACACCTCACATACAGGTGCGTAAACTAAAACGTGATTTATCCCCCCCCACCCCCCCCTTCATTTCAGATTTCTTTCTTTGGACTACAAATTGTCTACAAAATTACTTTTGGAAATTATTGCATTATATTGTCCACAGCGGGCTATTATAGAGGAAACAACATTTTTTTCTAAAGTAATTCAATTCACATGATCATTGGGGTTTGTGATTTAATAATCTATATCAGTAAACAAATTAAACCTAAACGAAATCCACAGAATAATCCCATCATTGACATTGACAACATTAGTTAATTTAATTAAAATTATTTTATTTTTAGCTAATTTCAGACGATACCTGATCATTTAGCCATGTAAATGACTAAATTGTACATGCGTAATAAGGAAACTCTAATGTAAACAAACTTTGTGTAATGAAATATCTGCTTTTAAGATGAGTGCGTGGTGAAAAACAAATCTCTTGATTTATGCAATGCATCAACTTTGTAATATTTCCATGGGTGAGTATGGTGATGAATACTAGTTTGTTTTTGTAGGAGCTCGAACTGCCTACACACTATCCCCCTGATATTCAGTCTGGTTCAGGCTGTTTATGTGCTTCAGTGCTCATGTGTCGCCCTCTGCTGCCAAAAAGAAGACATTGCAGTTTAAGCACAGCTGTTAAGTGTTAAAAGTTACATCAAGTCCATCATTGCTCTAAAGGCACCAAAGGCAAAAAAACAACGTGTTTTTGTCATATATACAGTTATATACAGTCATATATGTTTTTAAAAGATATGGTACTCTATGATTATGCAGCTATTTGTTTAAAAAATATGTAGGGTTTAGGGCGGCGTTCTTTCTATCTTTGGCAAACAAATGGACACTAACGGATTCTATCTGATCCAAAGATAACACAGAGTTTGTTTCATTTTTTTATGAACACTCGCAATCACAAAACAACAAAAAATAGTTACTCTAGTAAATCTATATCTTGATTGACCTTCACCAATGTTACCGTTAAAACATAATAAAATAATGGTAAACACTTTTAACTGTCAGCTTTTCGTTGACAGGAAAATGCTTCCTCAGAGTCCCAAGACTCGCATTGCTCCGTCCCCTCAGTGCTTAATATATGCAGAGAGGCAAAGGTGCTTCTTAAGAAAGTACGACAATGGTTAATGATTACACAATTAAATAACATCCAAGTGGGTTGAGCTTAAGGTACTGAAAAGGTCTGAGTGGATCGACTACATAAAGAAACACTGAAAATGTTTGTGTTAACCATGATTGGAGATTTAGGAGGAAAGGGTTAATAGGTTAAGGACTTAGTGGAAAATTGAATTCTGACATCAAGATCAGAATTTGAGGTTTTTTAAGGTGGTCTTAATCCTGTTCTGTTAGAAAGAGGTACAACCACTGTGCATCAACTTCCAACTTGAATACCTCTTGACATACTGCTGGTCAGTGATTGGTGCATATAAAGTGTATAATTCAGTATTAATGTGTGGAGAATACAGTACAAGTAGGAGTGCGTGTAAATAGTCTGTGCAGAGAAGGAGGATGGCAGGAATTTGCATAAAAAGGAGTTTGTGTATACTTTGGCTGAGGTTGTACTTAAATTAACACTATAGTTTTGTATTAAGGATAATGTTCTTTTCCTCCAAAGGAACAGGGACCTTGCCCATCTCTGCCTCTTTATCCTCCTCAAACACCCTCAGTATATCCCAGGACCGAGGGATATACTGGCGACAGAAGGCCAGCCTTACCAGCCAGGACACTGTAATAATACATATCAAAGAGGAGACCATGGCCAGAGTCCTGTAGGGGAAGTACTGTGTGATAACACCATCCTCCTCTCTCCAGTCGGGGTACAGGATGAGAGGAGGGATCCCAAGCACTGGCTCCCCGCTCAGCCCACGCAGCAGCAGTCCCACTATATAACCACTGATAGCCCCGTAGATGTTAGCGTAGCTGACGTGCAGTACGCAAATGAGCTGCGGGAGGACCATACAGTACAGGAGGTCTCCGCTCAGCAGCCACAAGGCGAACACGCTGTCGTCACCGAAGGCTAGGCCTGTTCCTGCCAGGCCCACCAGCAGCACACTAACACGGATCACCCGCTGCAGCTCCAACTCCGATGCCTGTAAGGAGAAACGATGAAGAGGGGAATAAAAACAGAGTTATTGTGAATAAAGCTAAACACACACACACACACACACACTCAGGCACACACACACACACACCTGCTTCCTCAAAGTCGTCTTGTATATGTTTTGCGTAAACATAGATGCTGAGGACAGCAGCACAGAGTCCATGGAGGACATGACTGCTGCAGCCACAGAACCAATGCCTAACACTGACAACCAGCCGGGTGTGAGGTTTTGCAGGGCCAGTGGCAAGATCTTCCCTGCCTCCCCTCGTTCAAAGGGAGGGGGTAGACCATACGCTGTCTGGTTCCAGTCTTAGAAGAAAGGAGAGAAAGAGAGGGTAGCAGGTATAGAGGTAGAAAAAGAGACAGACAGGGTCGAAAGGAAAATAAATAATGGGGGGGGAGAAGAAGCTTTTAAGATCATGGTGATGGCATAAAGATAATTTCATAAATAAATTGAGCACTTGGGAGCAGGAGGCTGGATGAAACTGGTGAATGTCCAGATAAAATCAGTATGATATGCTAACCATAACGACACACACATACATATGCAAACAAGACTAAATCTGTCCACTGTTTATCTGGGACCTCACTGTGAGAACATGTCAGCTATTTTTTTATTTTATTTATTTATTTTTAAGTGGACAGCTGACAGTTTGCAATCATGTGTACCTGCAGAAGCAGCCACCGCTCCAATGACAACAGAGGGGATTCCCATGATAAAAGCCGTCCCTGCAGCAACAAAACAGGTGACCTGAGCCTGAGCTGAGGATGACGCAGAGAGGATCCTCTGGTAAAACGCCTGATAGGCCAGTCCCCCCAAAGCCTGCAAGAGTCGCACATTGGACGCACAAAAAAAAACCACAAGATTTATAAGTTAGCAACTTGAGCATGCAGTTTTCCTAAAAGACAATCTTACCAGTAGAGGGATGTGCAAGGTTTATGAAATCTGGAGTTGAATATTGTGGGCTTTGGTTAAATACACATAGCATGTGATGTTAGGCTAAATTTTATCCAGAAATGTTAATGACTACAAAGCTCCAGTGATGATCAACAGGGTTTCCAGGGCTTGGCACTTCAATCATCTAACACAGTGACAAAGTAAAATGTGAAACCTAACCAATAAAAGCAACTCATCCGCCCATTTTCCTGCATCGGCCAGCTCCAGCTCTCCTAACCACGATTGTCCATTTGACTGGTTGAAGTGGGCTTGGCTTTGTGAGATGTCTGTCACTGCCGGACTTAGCAGCAAAAACGGAATACAGAGCCACTGAAACAGAGACACAAAAAACAGCTGTCAGAGGAAAAACTGAGCAGAAGTAAGTTAGTTAATATTATATTGTGTTTAGAGTTGCTAACATTGTGTTTTTTTACTCATATTGTGTGTTTGGGTAACCTGCTGCTGTAACACCACAATTTCCCAGTTTGGGATCAATAAAGTAATTCTATTCTATTCTATTCTATTCTATTCTATAAGTAAAGTCTACTTGATTGCTTCAACGCTTATATTTTATTGTTCATATTGTTCAATATTTTATTGTTCATTTATTAATCTGTCTGATTCAGGTCTTCTTATTTCTGTTGACTTCACGTTATCATCCTCCTTCTCTCGTCTGTGTCATTTCTGTCACTCCCTCTCTATGTCTCTCCATGTGTGCTTCCTGTTTCTTACCAGGCTGACAAAGACAAAGCAAAGCTGGATGATGTCCGTGTATGCAACCGAGTAGAGCCCCCCTAAAAATGTGTAGATGATAGAGACTGCTGCTGAGAGGATGATGGAGAGGGCAGGCGACAGCCCAAGAATTATGCTCATAGTTCCACCTAGAATAGACGGAACAATAAAAAAGATGAGAAATAAGATGGAACATTTAGTCTTATAGTGCGTATCTTAAGCTGGTCTATGAAAGACTAAGGTGCTACACATTACTCACCCAGAGCAGCAAGGATGCAGGCCACCCACAAAATATCACTGACCAAAGCAGGAAGCAGCAGTGTTGCAGTGAATATGTTGCCATAGCGATGTTGAAATGGGTCCAACATGGTGACATAGCTCTTCGACCTCATTGGTTTTGCAAAAAACAATCCACCTTAAGAAGAAAAAGAGACAAACTTAACATACATTTTAGTTCAACACTCAAAAGATGAGGCGGCTGTGGCTCAGTTGGTAGAGTCGTCGCCTCTCAACCGGAAGATCGAGGGTTCGATCCCCAGCTGGGCAACATGGGATTAGTTACTTCTGATGGATGATACTACATAGAGATCACTACCATCAGTGTGTGAAAGGGTGTGACATGTAGTGTAAGACTAGAAGAGCGCTATATAAGCTCAAGTCCATTTACTGTTTAAACTATAAAGAAATAGTTGATGAATAATCTTTGCAGCTTAAAGCTAATTTAAGGAGCTTCTAGCTTGTGTGGATGTTTTTGGGCCCCCAGTGGACAAAGCAGTACGTCTTTGCCTCTGCTGATCATGTCCTGTACATGTGTAGGAAGTGTTTTCAGCCAAAAATGACATCCTTGGCTTCAGAGGAACCCTCCCACCATGAGACTCTTTGTCATTGTGAATTCCATCAGCTTTATGGAAAAAATGACGTTTGTCCTGCGACTTCAAAAGGAGAAGAATATTGTAGAAAATGGGAATTATACAACGATAAAGACTCGTAAATATATATTTTTCATTAGAATGTACCATCCATTATGTACTGTACTGTGCCTGTTACATTCTTGTATTTGATCTTATTCATCGTGTCTTGCCCTAGTCCTCACTTGTTCTGTGTTTCTTGTAAAACAAAAATGAAAAATAAAGTATAAAAAAAAAAGAACAGTCAAGCCTATCACTGTGAATCTTCGCCAAGGAAACTGTAAACAAGTGTGTTACTCCAGTGACTTCGTCGGTCACCTACCCCCGAGCAATATATCACAAATATAACTCGGAACGCACGTTGAGCCTGTGGAGGGATGGTTCAGATAGCTGTCATTGTTTGTCTCTGTTCACACAGACTCCAGACTGCAGTGGATTTAATAAACATCTAGGATCAACCTCAGAGTTAGAGAGCAACACAAGTTTGAATGATTAAGTTTCCTGCTTTCATTTTGCGTTTGCACCTCCGTCCATATGCATATCCGTGTGTATTCCTCTGATGCGCATGCGCAGCACCGTTGGAGTAATTGTTTAAATATGAGAACTGCACTGTGTTCAATTATGCAATTATCAATACAATTGTTTTTTTCTTAAGGGCAAAAATACATATTGGGGACCCATTTGATTTCCTTGGGACTCCTGTGGGATCAGCACCACTGTTACAGACTAAATCAAGTGGGAAATTCTGAAATGATCTGGAAGTGCGGATATGCACTGTTAACGTCTGTAGGTAGTCAGAAACGAGGAAAAATAATGATGAGATTTAAAAACACCTGACTGCTGCCCATCTTCATCAGTCAGTATCTTGATCTACACTCTATGGCCTACATCTGTGTCTGTGAGTCATTATTAGTCATGGCTAGTGACTAATACATAGACTAGAAGTTTCTGCTGCTAATGCTGCGATGATTGTGCAAGTCACTGTGCCATTTCTCTCCTTCACATAGAAACAACCACATTAGCACTAAAAACACAAATTCAATAAAAGACAACTATTAATACGGATCATTCTGAACCTAAGACTTTATATTGTGTTTAAAAGAAAAAAGAATCAGCAGTACTGTAAATGTTAATCTGTTCATTCTGATGCATTAATGCGTTACGTCTTTTCAATCGATTGATCACCTGCCTTTTTGTCCCTTTCAGCGCACCGTAGCAAAAACCACCACAGTGATGGAAAATGACGCCACTGCGCTTTTCAGAGGTTCATTTTTTGTATAAAAATAACTCCAGTTGACAAGACAGAAGTAATTTGCACCTCAAGTCAAACGGAATTAAAATGTCCCCTAAGTACTTCAAGCTTCAGCTACCGCCTGCAAGATAAGCATGGACAGTAGGGGGAGCTAGTCAGACTGATGTCAGAGGGGAACTGTATTACCAAAGCAGGTGTAGTGCTGAGAACTGCATGCACCTTGTTACATCTTGTTGTAATGCCATCTCCAGCAATTTAAAGTTGAAAAAAGTATAACCATTCTTTCCGAGGGGGGTAGTTCAGTGACTAGAAATGATCTGAAGTTTAGTGTTGGTAAACGTGTCCTGTCTCCCAAGTAGACATGGTCTCCTTTTCTTTCACAAACGAGGAGTAATCTTAAAAGAAAAAGATTTTCAGTCCTATTACATCACAATACTGTTTGTGTGGCTGCAAAGAGATGTTGAAGGCACTACTGGTTCAGTAAAAGTTTAGTCCTGATTTATCTGCCTGAAACATGCATCAGAACCTCTGAAAAGCTGATGCTGAAGATGCTGCACATGTACTTCTTCTATGTGATAATTTCTAAGAACAATAAAAAAAAAGGCTCATTGCCAGTTGAAATTATAAACAATTCTTTGTGTCTTAACAGAGCTGGTGGTAACGACTGCACAGATCGTTTAATCAGGGGTTACATGGTTTCAGGGATGTCGACACCTGCATGTAGGTCAAACTTGTTTCACACATATGGATTAAGTCTGGACATCACGGGACTGGCTGATCTTGTTTGCTCACTCCAAGGAGTATGCAGAGTAAAAAAACGACGAAAAATGGTATCCAATTAGACATGTCGGAACTTAACAAAAAAATTGGAAATATAGCTGCCTTGTCCCCTTCCAGCTCATCATCTCTCTGGGGAGAGCATTGAACTAGGTCAGTATGAGAGCGGGTATTGGAGGAGAGAGGAAGGTTTGACAGCTCCTCTCCACAATCAGACTAATAACATCAAATTGCACTAAGCTGCAGAGCTTAATGTGCAGGTTTGAAGCTGTAATATCATTACCGTGATATCCTTAGTGAATCAGATCAAACAGAACCCACTTTCTTTATTCTGCAGCTAGTCCAATGCACAATTGGATTGATAAAGTCGGATAACACCCTGAAAGATAAGTTGTATGAAAGTGTAACATAATGTGTTTCTCTTTAAATGGGCTCTGATAAAGGATTTTGTTAGACTGTAGTTTGTAAAATCGCTGCTGTGTAGTTCCTTTTTTCAAACCTACCAGTATTTCATTTTTTGAAGATTTATTTTTGGGCTTTTTGTGCCTTTAATGGAGAGATAGGGTAGTGGATAGAGCTGGAAATCAGGGAGAGAGAGTAGGGAATGACATGCGGGAAAGGAGCCACAGGATTCAACCCTGGGCCGCCCGCTTGGAGGACTACAGCCTCCATACATGAGGAGCGCGCAGTTACCAGCGCCCCAATGTTTTACCCTTAATTTATTCATCTTTAATAAAATATAAAAAACATGTCCCCCATAACACCCAGCATTGCCTTTACATACTTTTCAAATGACCTCAATCCTGGTGAAAGCCTTTAGTTGTTCGCACACACAGGACTTCTCCTGTCTGCCAGAAGTCTGAACTTTTTAGATTTCATTTCCGCTTCTCTCTGATTATGTATCAGTGACCTCGACCAGGTTATTGCAAGCTCTTTGTGAAAATGACATGCGTCTGTAGTGATCTATGCATTGCAAGTTGTTTCTGAATTACTTCCAGTGTCATCTTGGTCAAGCTATCTTTGAAGATAAACAAAGCACAAGTGAAGTATCACATCCTTCGTTGCTTCAGTATATGAAGCGAAAAAAAACCAACAACCCTCAGGTGCTGCTACCAACACAAAACAGAGAAGGACATTTTGTTGTCGCTACTTACCCAGGACAAAATTGATAAGATACGCTGGAGGCCCCAATGCCCAGATGAGACCTTGAGTAGGAGAATAAACAGCCTCAGCAGTTCCCATAATGTAACCTCCACCAACCCATGTGGCTGTAAGACAAGCACAGAAAACAATCCAGTTCAAACTCAAGACAGTGAGGATTAGTCACTCACAGTAATGTACACCAATAAAGCACTGAATGACACACAAAAGTAATAAAATAGTTCTACCTGTCATGGTGAAAACCCCGACCAGGACGTTGATGTTGCGGCCACCCACCATGGTTACTTCGCTCTTGCTGCCGGCACATGTTTTCTCCACTTGCCTTGACTTTCGAGATGCCCAAATCCCAATTACCAGGATGACAATGTAAAAAAACACCACCGCCACCAGTCCAGGGACATCCACTGCCATGATTGTCTAGTGACACAATTCAAAGCCCAAATATTACACCAAAACGTAACATAAAAAAACACAATATGTACTCTGGAATATATAGCTGCCATTTGTTAAGATGGAGTCAGACTGACATTTTTAAGTTGTGAAATAATCCCCAATGTCTCAATTTAACCTTGACAAGCTGTGGATGGGCACTGCAGAGTCCTGCCCCACTTATCTGGTACACAGGGTTGCTCAACAAAGAAAAACATTATGAAGCCAAGACCAGACGACTACTGGATAATCTTTGGGAATTGTGATTATGGCAACCTTGGTGTTGTCTAGTTTCTTCAGTGAAAAGCACATTCCTGTAGTTTGATCCACTGTCATTGGCTGCAGTATTTTTACAAAAAGGACAAAGTGCTTCTCAACCAAGATCTTTTTTTTCCCCCCTCAGTAAGGTTACAGCATGCTTGTGCTGGGGAAAAAAATGTTTTATGTATGACACATTTAAGGCTTGTTAATGAATTGTCAGTTTCCTGGGAAATGCTATGCAATCTAGTGCTGATTGTAGGGAATAAGTGTAAAGACTGGTCTTTTAATTCTAAAGGTTTACCAGCTGTATATTTTCAGAAGACTCCCAGGAAAGAACTGCATTTAAACAACGGTAAGGAAATCATAGTGGAGCAGTTATCTTTGGGAAATGTTTACGAAATGTAAACAGTTTAAGAATAATGTTTGTATTCTGAGTTTTTGTAACTCTGTTTAGGTTGTTCAGATCGTCTGCTGAGGAAATGAAGTGGTATGGCAGTGATGTATTTGATGCTTGGTAGCCAGTTTATTATTAAGCAGATTGTTTAGGACAAAGTTCTTCCTGGTTATTTAGGGTAGGTAAGCTTCAGAATCAGAAATACTTCATTAATCTCAGGGGAAATCCTGACATTACAGCTGCTCTAACACACAATATAGAAGTAGAAATATAGTTATGTGCAATTGAGATACAAGAAATGTAAGTAAGATATAAAGCAATAAGTAGAAAAAATACTGAGGACGATAAGGAATATTTTCCTCACTGGACACTTAGCTTAAAAGATATGTATTATTGGCAGGTATTTTTTAATCCATGAGAAAATATTTTTATTTGGGGGTGGCTTTACACCACTGGAGTTTTTATTAGGAAAGTCTGCTCAAAAAAATGCTTGTTAGATTCATTTTAAACATGTTCTATTGTGAAAAAAAAAAACAAGTTATTATAACTTTGGTATAAAGCAATATGTTACAGATCGAGAAAACTAAGAGGAGGACCGAGATGCAGAATTAACAAAAACTATTTATTCTTTAAACAAAAACTTACTTCAAAAAAATCCAACAAGAGAAGGAGCCACGGGTAAACTGACATACAACATACACACCGACAAACGACAATGAACTGACACGAGAGGGGAAGAAACACAGAGACTAAATGGACACAGGTGAGACTAACAAGACACAGGTGAGGACAATCAACATGGAGGGAAACACACACAGGGGCAGGAATACAAGACAAGAAACACTGAGGACAACTACAAAACTAAATCATGAAACACTAAAAGACACACAGAACTCAAGAATGAAACTAAACACATAAAAGGAACACTAAACACTGAAATACAAAACTAAATTAGACCAAATCATGACATAATATGTTTAACACTAAATGTATTCATGCCTAGTTTAAAGATTTATACCACCTCACTTACCAGATTAGATATCTAACTAACCCCTATACGTACAACCTGTACTTTCCAATAATGTGTAACCTCTCCAAAAAAAAAATACATTATATTTGATACAAAAACCTCAGTCTATGGCCTAAACACGTATTTAGTAAGTAGCATATTATATTGCCTTTCAGTGTACAGACACAATGCTAACGGTACAGCTCATCCTGTCCTCTATTGGAGAAAAAAAAAAAAAAAAGCGTGCCTCCTCTGAAATCACCATACTAGCGTTTTTTTTAATCCTTCAAGTCAAAATGAAAAACGAGTCCAAAACCCGAGGGAGTCTTTCCAGATGATTTGTCTATGAGCTGGATCTATGAGAATATGTGTCTATAATGTCGCTTTTACTGATAGATCACGTTACGATCATTACATGACAATAGGAGATCTGATTTGAAGAAACACCAGACGCGTCTTACATTAATAATAATAATAATAATAATTAAGAGGAAGCCTTCATTACAATTGATGTGCTATCTATACAGTTATCGATACACGATATTGAATTATTGTTTTACATGTGTATCCAATTTATGATGTAAACGCTCGTCCTCACAGGCTGAAATTACACCGCAGCCACATTAAGCTTTGTTACATAGATACAATACATGTAGGCCGATACATAGATACATAGATACAATACAGCATATTTACACGACCACTGCAATTCACTTATATAAATCCACTTGTTTTGACAATAAAAAATGAGTATGGCGTTTCATACTCATCGGAAACATCGAATTCCAATTGTCTTCGTATTTTATTTTTTTTAGCTTACTAACCTTTGTGTAGATCGGGGTCTCGTCCACGCATCTGCTGCCTCCACCAAGGCTTTTGTATTGTTAAAGCGTCGGCCGCTCAATTATTCTCTATTGTCACCTTCTGAAACGTGACACCTGGAGGGGTTGCGTTCAACGGCGTCAAAAAAAACCGTGACAACGTTTTAACAAGAGGTGACTCTGCTGTCAAATAACCGATTTAAACTCTGTTGGTCGTCTCCCACTTGAAATCGAAAGCGTGAAGGATGCGTTTCCGCGCAATTTGATTAAAACAGCTGGTTCAAACAGTTTTAGCAGCAACACTTTGTCTTGAACGCAACCTGGAAAAGAGACTCTAATAAACCACAGCGTTATCTATGGTGCAGTGCTTTTACCTGTAAAAAGACACACGTGGTTTTCGCTTAAACTTGAAAATGTAGGCTAGGGTCCACTTTAAGACGTCTTCTGTAATGTCTTCCACCCACTCTGTTGGAACCAATGTGCCTGAAATGTGAAACCAGCAGCAGCACAGAACCGGGCAATCTTGAAGGCTGTGTGGAGTAGGTGTAAAGGTTGAAAAATGTGTTTTTTCTTAAGCTAAAAAACAACAAGGTTATTAAAAGGTTGAAAATGGATCACAAGATTCAAGGTTCAAAGCCATTGGGACATTGTAAAAGTTAATTATAGTGAAAATACAGTTCATTGCTAAAAGAACAAGTTGAATGAGTTAAAAAGAGAACCCAATATATTGGGGTCGCTATACTTTTCAGACCCTTTCCACGACAATGTGATTAAGGCTTTTGTCAAGTGCAAGTGTAAAATACGAAATGCAAAAGTGACTTGTAAAAAAAACGGAAATAATGACGTGTTAAAAATGTTGATATAGAGTAATATAAAGGTTGGATCGCTCACACAGTGGCGGTTCTAGACCACTTTTACTGAGGGGGCCGAACGGGGGCCAGTTGTTTAGTCAGAGGGGAACATTAAAGGTCCCATATTCTGCTTTTTCTGGTTTTATATGCTCTTTGGTGTGTTTTCCAAGCGTCCTGTGCATGTTTAGGCTCATCTCTGTGCAAAAATTCAAAGTCCGCGGAAACGTTCTGCGGCGTCATTGTCAGTGTGAGATCACTGTCTAAGCCCATTGGCTCGTTGTGGCAAGCCCTGCAGCTCATGTTGAAATTTCCGAGAAGCGTGCTGAGCAACTGACCAATAACGACAGAGCGGATCGGCAGACCAATCAGAGCAGACTTGGCCCACGTGGGGTCTAACAGTGTGGGCTCAACAGAGTGCAGCTGACGGACTGAGGGCGCGGTCACACTGGGTCACATGCTGTACGTGCTGTACCCAAGCACGAAAAATAGACAAATATGATCGTTGATGATTTAAAAAATATATAAATATTATGCCAAATAATAGCGCACATCATTAAATACCACAACATTAAATACCATGATTTACATTTGTTTCAGTAACAGTATTTAATACTAGATTGTGAGTCCGGTTGTTGAGTCAAATACTATATATGTGTTATTAGGGGGGCTCTTCCTTTTGGAAGGGTGGCCACGGGGCGCATATCTTCACAGCTGACACAAGTTGCACAGGAAACCGGACTCTTGATTTGTTATGTGATAATGATTTTTGTCTCAAAGTCATTGAACACACATTTTCATGACTAAAACTAAGTTTACCCACATTAAGTAAAATTATACATTATTAGTTACTGGGACTATCAGACAACTTCAGGCAGTAGCAAAACCACCAATTGCATGTTTTGTAAGGGTAGGCCTATTTTTACTTAACATATTGCTTGGGATATTACTTTCCTCGGGTAGCTTACATTGTCCAATGAATCCTAGTTCTTACATCACAGAAACATTTGCTATTGGCTACCTGCCATCACATGAGGGAGAGATGATGTACAATGAATTTTCACTGTATTTCAGCAATGGGAAGACTGGGTATCCGTGAAACCTTTTAATTCAAAAGTAAATGCAAACGTCCAAAACAAATGCAATGGCTGAAACACACTGAAAATGAAACAAAGGTGCGGCACAAAGCTGACAATGCATTTGCTTTTGAATTTGTGTTTCTGAATTTGCTCTGCGTTTTTCAGTCGTTTCAGCCTTTGCCGACTGCTGCATAACTGCAGCTGGTAAGGATGGTTTGAACACCTTTTTTTTCTATTTTTACCAAGTCGGAATTTACTAGAGATACTTCATTTCTTTAATTTTCAAGATCTTAATTCAAATATCTTAAAGGGGATTTCCAAATCCAGGGCGGATTGGCCAAATTGTTCTACTTTGTCATACATCATTTGGTTTCTTACGCTATTGCCTAACTAGAATAAAGAAAGAGTCCCCTCCTTTGTTTAAAGAAACATATCAAATGCTTCTTTCTACAGAACCTCCTGGTGGTTTGCTGGCTAATGTGTATCTTGTAACCTTAACGGCCTGGTTGGAGTCCAGTCTGGAATCTCTTAGCAATAAAGGAGAAAAAAAACCCAGCCTCCAAAAAAAGAAAACAGCTTTATTTAAAGACAAATAGATGTTTATAATGTGGTGTTGTCCTTTTCGTTAGAGCATGCGTGTTGGTTGTGTTAGATTTTAGATGTCAGGGTTTTGCGTGTGTGAGCTCCTGGTTATTGGCCGCTGACAGCGGGTGGTTGAGAAGTAAAAGTCCACTCCCTGCAGGGTCAGAGGTGCACAGTATCCAGTGGTTGCTGTCCTTTTCCGCTTTGTGAGAGTCCAAGAAGGTGTGAGCTGTAACCTCATACTCTTTACCGAATGCTGTCCTGCAGAGACACAACTGTTACCTACAGATCAACAAGTTTCAGGTTACATAATTTACATATTAAGCAATACTACAGGTCTGTTGGGCAGTGGGCCCACCAGAGAATAAACCTTCATAGAGGCAAATAAGGTGGTGAACAAACACATCTGGAATGACCTACACAAACACGACAATGGACTTCGAGCTGCCATATTGGAGCTCTTTATTTTTGACTATTGGATGCTTGTTTTGTTTTTTTCTTTGAAATCTTATTGAACCAGGAAAACCTCATTGAGATTCAGATCTCATTTACAAGAGTGTCCTGGTCCAGACAGGCGGCAGTATACATTTAACAAGTAACAGACATAAAAGGGCAAAAAAAAAAGAAAAAGAAAAGCTAAACTGGACCATGACAACACAAGTGAATCTGCATGGAGTGGTTTCTGCCATTTCTTCACAGGAAATAGAACTTTTTAAATTAAGATCCATCAGATTTCTGTTTTGAGCGTGTGTTAGTACGAATTTTCATGAAATTCATTCATTTTGGTAACTTTGTGAAACGTGCTATTTAAGTCTGTCTACCACTTGTTAACACTCCTATTGTGGGTCTCTGACGCTGTAACCTTATATGGGTGAAAAACCTCAATTGTTGCAGATCATGAAGGAACCAACCATATGTTGTCAACAACTGTTTGCTAGACAAAGAGTGTACATCTGTTATGAATACAAATCAGTGTCATCTCATCTTTTTTGTTTTATAGTGATGTACCCAAATAGAAAGGGATTTGTGGGCTGCACCTTTTAACAGAATATAAGCAGCACCGTGAACAATGTTACTTTGTCATTGATTTGTAAGCATGTGTGTTCCGTAAAGTTGTCTGACCTCGGCCGATTAAATGCCGTGACATGTCAGTGTCACCTAGCACTGAAAAACCTCATAAAGCTTTTCCCTTCCCAGTCAGCTGACCTACACACATATTGTTGTTCTTCTCTCTCTTTCATTTTGATATCGCATATTTCACTAAATTTATTCTGATCTTTTCAAATGGACCTCCAGGCTGAAATTTAGGCAGCAACACAAAGCAAATATACCTTTCATGCACTTCATAAAACACAGAATCCTAATCTTCTCAGGCTTGGGGTATGTTTGATAGGAAAAATTGAAAATTACCAGAGGACTTGATCACCCAGAGCTGCAAGTGCCTTGTTTGTCTTGCAGTGTTTTATAACCACCTTCTGATTAGCCTGTAAAAAACAACAACAACCCAAAGCTTACTTAACGATTATGTGGAGATTCTAGATGCAATTAAGATGAGGGACAACAGAAAAAGCTGATGTTGCAAAAGGTAGAGCAACGAACCAGTAATGAAACAGTAAAGACTCACAGGGACACGTTGACCCTCATATTCGAGCCTCTCCTGGGGGTCAAAGTGCTCTATCTTCCACCATGAAAGAAAGGAACAGCCTTCATCCAAGTTTACTTCTTGTAGACGGGAGTTCTTTGCACACTACACCAAACATCACGATAGTGTGAGATTGACAACAAAAGAAATCCTTGTAAAACAAAAAGGTCAAGCATCTCAGTAGTATTCTTGTTTAACTTAAGATGTGCTTGAAAACTTTTCCACATTTCCGCAATGGAAGATATCTCATCACAGTTGAAGGTCGTTAGCAGAATGTACTCTCCTTGATGGTCTTAATAAATAATTCATGTTAAAACTTGATCTACCTTTTGAAAACTTTGCAGGTCACTCATCAGGTAAAGCTGGGAACAGAAAGGAAGAGAAAAACATACAAGCACAAAGTGATAAGCACAGTTCAAAGTGAATATTTGCTATCTGAAGTCGACACTATCTTAAGAAGCTTTGTGTCCTTATAGCAAAGCAGTCAAGCTGCATCTAAGGTGACTATTCTCTTACCCCTCTGGCAAAGCCACATGTTGTTTTCAGGGCAAAACTTTGCTCATAATTCAGAGTCGATCCATCAGGACTGCCATCCACACTGTAGTTACACAGGCAGAGTTACAAATGTGCTGAATGGAATAGGTTGGGGTGATTTTCAGTGTCTTTGTTTTTTACCTGGTAAGGATGAAGGCAGTGCGCGTGCAGGCCTGAATGTCTCTTCCTGCATTGACTCCACAAGGGGCTTTAATGCCAGGGAAAGGAGTTTTAGTCACACTATTAATGTCTGCATTAATGCTTATTGCGCTGCACTCCCTGTTTTCTCCTCCTAGATTCACCAACACCACGACATCCCCAAAGTGCAACGATCCGTCCGTTGTCACAGAGAGATCAACCTGGAGCAAACACAATCAGCGTTATCGTTTCCATATCTTTCACTGTTATGATTGTTATTGCTGCTGTTAACGGTGTTCTCAGTTAGCTTGAAGTCATTTTACCGGACTCAGCATGTTCTGTTTGAGGAAGTCTTCCTTCTGGTAGAAAAGTTCACCCCTTTCTTTTTCCTCCAGATACTCTTTCTTCTCATCCTGAAAAAGAAGTTAGCATATAGGTCTACAATGTTGTCTTCTGTCCCCACCACATCACTATATACTCTAAGTCAAAGGGTTCCCAAACTATTCAGCCCATGATCCCCAAATTAAGGGTGCCACAGAGACTGGGGACCCCCCAAAGTCCATTGAGCTGGTTAAGGCATATAATGTAGAGCACAGCCCATACATGCACTAATTGGCCTATTGAAATATGGTGACACAAAAGAACAACACAAAAGAATACAACAGCCTTAAAAACTGTACACTTATTTCATATGGTTATTTATGTATTGTCTTATCTTTTTGAATAAAGAGCAGCAGACACCTACATTGTCGCTGTCATGTGCAAACTTACATTTGAAGTATTTTTCCACGGTCATTTTAATTTCAGTTCTCTTAATGAGAGGGTTATATTTGAAACTGAACTCTTTTTTGTGCCTATTTTTACAGTAATGCATATCCTTTATACAATTTTATATGATTTATTTCGTTGTGTGCTAGGAAGGCACCTTGCAACCCCCTCATGACCCTCCGGGGATCCTGGCTCCAGTGTCTTACAATTGCAATTCAATGCATAAAGCTTTGCACCTCCTGAGTGGGTCAGTGCCTCAGACCTCAAACTGCAAAGTGGCTTTTGGTGTATTAGGCTATATTACTATAATTCTGAAGGAGATTGAATATTTTACTTACAGTTAAACTATATCCTCAATTGAGAGTAGGCTACGGCAATGCCAGACAACATGAAAATATATTTCAACTGATCCAACCTCAAGAAATGAACAATTGATTATGAGGCCATCATTCAGTCAGCTCTTTGCTTTAAACTCTTTGTGAGCTTTTCCAGCAGTATGATGTAGCCTATGTTTTGTACGCCCTTCTCTTTAGGCTGCCACATAAGGAAACACATGTTACTTTATTTCTATATTAATAACTAGAAAGGATCAGACTGTGACACTCGGTCTGGAGTGCTTATGAGTTAGGCAACATCAAAATCGACCCCCTTGTTATAATCAAATAGATTTCCAGTGAATGCTTTCATTTGAAAACGTTTAAACATATTGACGCCTTAATGTGAAAACAGGTCGATTATGTTGAATAAAAATTGGATAAATTACTAAAAGATATGATGGATGTTTTTTTTTTTTTTTTTTGTAACAAACCTCTCTTAAGCGCAGCTCCTCATACCAGTTTCCAGTTTTCACGTTTCCGCGATGAGACATCACATGAGACATGATGAACTGATGCAGGCGTACTGATTAATGAACGATGATAATGAATACTTTCTGTCTGTGACCTGGACAGTGCAGCGCAAGCGTAGTTTGTATTATGGGTTTCCATGGTAACTGGAACGAAGCAGTCTCATGCGGCCCTTCTGTGAATTCTCGCCGGTTGTCGCGAGATGGGCACACGAGCAGTACGAGCTCGTAATGAAGACAGATAGTGTTTAAATAAACTTACAGCAGGAGCAAGTCTTTAATACTTTGTGTTTTTTCTTCGATTTTACATCAAACTAATCCACCAAAAAACACATGGTAGCACATTTCAATACACAGACACTTACAAGTTATCCATGACAATATCATTATCATCCTCAAAAACATGGTTAAATGCAAAAAAAAAAAGGGGAAATAAAATATAATATTTTCGATTGGAAGAAGAATTACAAAGTAAGTAGCCTATAGCACAGAGTTTAGTGACTTTCAGGAACCATGCGGCTTCATATAAGTTTATGTAAAAATCTTTAACACTTTCCTAAATCTTTGCTCAAGTGTGTGTTTTTGTATTAGCTCAGAGAAACATCAATTCAGTCCATGTGTCTTCCATCACCGTGTCTCTTTCTTTTTGTGTGTCAGTGGCCATTGGCCCGGCCTCTGACTCCGGAGCCATTTTTGTGATTCATTTTTTGATTTCTTTCCTCAGGTGAGTCATCCTCATCTTCATCACTCCTGTCATCGCCTTCCAGCTGAAGGATGGAGCCGTGCCACAGGGAAGAGAGATACGAGATTTGGGTGAAAAAAAAAAAAAAGAACATCTTAGTTGTAGAATTTGCACAGTGAATCCGTGAATCTCTTTCCTTGTGCAGGAATCAATAACACATAAATGCACACCTTGCTGAAGATACACTTGTAAAACATCCGTGAAATCAAAACAGCCCAGTAGAAGTGGAGTATTTGAAGAACACACAACATCACATTGAAGAAGTAGTAGCCAAAGAAGGGCGCAAACAGCTCGACAGGGTACACCCATGTACAGTGGATCAGCCTGTTGAGAATATCAAACACATCAAATCTCATCAGAGATCCGTATCTTGCATCATGCTGCATCTGTCAATTTTCACACACTTACCAGAATGGAAATATGACAAGTCTGGTCATCATAAAGAGAAGTGTGAACACCACAAACATGGCATTAGCAGTCTGGTGCCACTTGGCGTAGTTTAATACTTTGGCACCCTGTGAGATAAAAAAAACAGGGGGGAAAAAAATCTGATTCAGATTTTTGTTTATAATAAATATTCCAGCTCGCATATAAAATCATGTGAGGCATACTTGGTAGTGATGTTGAGTTTGAATGATAAAATAATTCCCGTAACAATTTTCTCTGCCACTACAAGAGGATAATACTCAAACACTAAATAGACTGCAGTCTATAATCTGTTGATTCAATCCTGTGTTAAACGACCCTCTTAAAGAGCAGTTTGCAGATGGGAGATCTAACTGAATCAATATATAAGACAATAGTTTAGAAAAATATATTTCAACAAAATATTTGAATTACTTCTCTACAGTGACTTCTGGCGTTCAGTTTGTTTGTTTGCTTTTTATTTCCACATCAAATACAGACAACCGGATGCAATATGACTCCAACATTATCAACGAGGATCTAAATGCCTGTCTTGTCAATGAAGAGGAATTTGTATTTGTTTATATGCAAGCTTTAAATCGTTAGCCTGCTCGGTATCAGAGGGTCCAGGAACAGGTCGGGATTGTGGAGAAATAACGGCCACGGCAGAGACATTGAGTTGTGATGTGGCAGAAATCAGGGGAAAACTGGGCATGTTGTCATAGTGATTGACCAGTTAGCTAGGGATATCTAAAGATGTGTTCTGTCCATGTGACAGTTTTGTTCAGCTTTGTTATCACGTATCAATGAGGAGAACTAATCATGATGAGTGATAAGTTAATAATGAGCAAGTATGAGCGTGTATCACTTCATATTACCATCTTTAATGGTAAATCTGTACTGCGTTTTACAGTGCAAAAAAAATTATACACAATATCTACATCATTCAACCCTGCACATTTTCTTTATTTATATCTGTAGATATTTGTTCATGTATTCAATTCCCTGTGCTTGTGCATAGCTTATTATTCTTCAGATACTCTCACTCGGAACTTATTGCTTATTCTATTATTCATATTTTCATTAATATTCTATATATATATTTCTATATTTCCTACTGCTATATTGTGTGTAAGAGCAACTGTAATTACCACATTTCCCCGTAGAATGAATAAAGTATTTATGACTCAGACTCTGATCTGTGTGGTTATCACACAGATCAATGTTAAACATCTGTGAGCTCATCGCTCTGCATTATTTTATCTCCTACTAGCCTTCAGGTAACTAACAGTCACATTCCCTGATCAGCATGTGGAGACGCACTTCATGCATTTTTATGGGCTCTGTACATAGATATGGGACATACAGAATTATGGGCGTAGTCCGACAAGTCCACATTATACCTACTCCTTTCCTCTGTATATCATCTGTATCTTCACTACACTGCGTTATAACCTGTCAAAAAAACTTCTCGTTGATTAAAGTATCACCTGTGCACTCAGCCTCCCTCCCGAGTGCGGGATCTGATTCTTAAATTAAATGCAGTCTCTTATTGAATAAATACAGACTTTATATTTACTGTGTAGCTGTACACACACAATTGTAGAACATTAAATACATCTTCACCTGTTGGAATGAAATGAGAAGTTTAAAACTAAAGATTTTTACGACCCTAAATCAGTCAAATATGACTATTACCTCATGCAGAGAGATGGGGGAGGGGGGGATGTGAGAGAGACAAAAGAGAGTAGAGCAATGACAGTGTCCTGATAAACTTACTACCCCCCATGTGATTTAATATAATGTGATGTTGATAAAAAAAAAAAAAAAACCTTTCCTCTAAATTTATCATGTAAAAAATGCAAAATGAAGTTTTGGCCTTGTCAACAGCCATGTTTCCAACATGTTTAATATTAATATTGTAAAAAATGTAACCTGCAAGTTGCCCTCTCATTATTGCTTCTATGTTGCAGTCTCAATACAATGCAATATTGATATTGAATAGTTGTGATCTATAGACTATCTGCAAATATGAGTGTAAATGTAAATATGACGAGGTCTTCTTCAATGTATTTCAAGAGCAAGAATGAGAAAACAAATATCATTCATGTATAGTTTGGCCAGTCAGCAATCTTTTACTAATGTTCACTTCAGTTTTCAAATGTAAATCGGTGCATATATCGACAGAAGGAAAGGGATGAGTACATGTATTTTTCCCTTTTTGTAATTTGAGCTGTTTAAATCCCTTCTGTTACAATTTAAGCGATCATTCAGACAACTTGGTTGCTGCACGTCTTGAAATTACTGACACAAATACTTTGACATATATTTGAACCCTTAGTGTAATACTAAGTATTATCTTTTCTTTGAAGATAAGATAAAAGTGTTTTGCAGGCATCAAATTACTTTTCAGTGCAGTTTTAACTGTGTGTGTAGACGTCAGTGTATGACTGTATTGTCATTCTGATGCTGCAGGACTGTGACACGTCTAAATCGGTTTTCCTCTAATTGTACAAAGGCCTAAAGTACGACAATAGATATCAGAGTGCACCAGCTCTGACTTAATCTCTGACCTCGAGCAGTATGTCAGCTGAGTCATGAAGCGCCATCACGAGGGTTCCAACACGGATGTAGTTTGAGATCCAGGAGAAGCTCAGAAGAGTCAATGTGGCTATATGATGAATCACCTGCTCTTTGAAGTCCTACACACAGACACACAACAGATAAACATGTATGCATATGACATAATAAGAATCCTAAATAAATGCATCATTTAAAGTTAAAATGCATGCATAGATGTTGCTTTAATATTGATCTTTGGTACATTGTGGATATAATATAAATACCTGCAGTAAGTGCACATGCAAATATCAATATGCTCACCTTCCGTTTCACATCAAATGTGAGGCTGAGGAGCAGAGAGAGGTAGAAGCCCATTTCCAGGAGGTAATACCAGTACTGGGATAGCAGCATGGACTGTATGGGAATATAACACACACTTATAGATGTCTATCACACTACAGTCTGTACTACTGTACAGGCCATGCTAGTAGCAACAGAAACCCATACCTGTTTAGGAAAGCCAGCCCAAACCTCCCTCAGATTATAAAGCCAGGGTTTCTGCAGCCAACAAAAACAAAGAGGGGAGGATTTAGAGGGCAGCCTTTAAATGATGAACTACAAGGGTAAATGTTGCCCACGAGCTCATGCATGTGTGTCTGCCAGAGTGTGAGGAAAAAACCCTGGAGCACATACTTGACACAGTGAAACCAGAGCAGCGCATCCACATAGGGACACAGAGACAACACAAGGACAGAGAAATGTCCCACAGCAGCAAAATGAACACTCAACAATGGGAAATTTGTCCTGCACAAAATTCATGTTCCTGTCATTAAACTGAAAAAAAAATAAAAATAAAATGTACTTACATCATAGAGAGCCCAGACTCCGTAGACAAATGCAAAAAAATAAAACACACATCTCCAACTGTTGACAGACAAGAACAGTGATGTCACATATTTCAACAAATCAGTATTTAATCAGACATATGAATGCACAAAGCACACACCTGGCCTCACAGAACCTCTTGCGAAGCCCTGGACGCTGCTGGTTCCTCCTCCTCCTGAACCAGATATGAACTCTCCCTTCTGGCAAACTGGTCTTCTTACAAAGAGCCCTCACATCAGCCTGAGGCATGAGGGAAACAATCCAATTATCATATTCTGTGCATTTAGTCAACACTCTTATGAGCAGTATGATGATTTACTGAGCATCTTATTTCAGAGACAAACTTCAAGAAGCCTTTTCTGATTTGACCGATGTATCTGAAATACTAACTTTTATTTCATTTACAAGCTTATGTTCAAGGATAAAGGAGGAATTTCTCAAAGGCGTCTGCAACATTGGTTTGCGTTTATTATGCTGTGGATAAAGCAGTAACCCTAATCTTTTTGCTGATCTTGTTCTGTGCATGTGTAAATCGGACTTTCTGAGAAACAAATCTCATCCTACTTTCTTTAAACGGTCAATCATTAACGTTTGCTGTGAAAAGTGTCAACAAAAGGATGTTTTGACAACTGCTGTATCTCACTTTGTCTGACACCTACCAAGCAACAGCATTTACGAGCATTAAAAATGACTATATATAAATGATCAATCTTCTCGCCGATGGTCTCGTTTTAATTTGTGGGTCATATAGAGGCTGATTAAATGATTTCAGTCTGTTTCATAACCAGCAAAAAAACTACCCACAGGAGCTTTAATTAAGTAGTGTGCCTTTTTCTGGGGCGGCAGTAGCTCAGTTTGTAGGGACTTGTGTTGGGAATCAGAAGGTCACCAGTTCAAGTCCCAGCATGGACCAAGTGCAGAAATTTCACCTGGTAGCTGGAGAGGTGCATGTCCACTTCCTGAGCACTGCCAAGGTGCCCCTGAGCAAGGCACCAACCCCCCTCCAACCAGCCCAGGAGCACCCATTGCAGGGCAGCCCCCCCACTCTGAGACCTCTCCATCAGTGCATGTCCATAGGATCCTGTTTGTGCATGTGTTTATTTTGGCCTATGTTTGTGTAGCATGTTCACTAGACAGAGTGTAAAAACAAATTTCCCCTCGCGGGATCAATAAAGAATAAATTAAATTATTTTGTTAACCTGATATATTTAAAATGTCTATAAATAGCCCCAAAGGTGTTTGTTGATACTTTGACTTTTGCTTTAGATCAGCTTTTTCTTTGATAACCCAACACACACAATGTTGTGGATGAATACTATATATTCGATCTGTGATCTGTGATATTCGACTGTCTTTTCTGTGTTTAGTAACTGAAATGGCCCCTTTGAATTTACCTGTGATGGAACCCGTGTTTGGCTGCAGAAAAAACTTTCCAGGATGTGGTTTGATTCTGCTTTAAGTCGGACCTTGTCCTTGATTCCCCAAGCATTAGCCAGTGGTGTGGCCAGAAACCTGCGAGCGTTACATTAAAACGTGTGTCAGTGTTTCATATTGTGTAAATACACACAACAGTGTCCTGGTTTATTGCGTCACTCAGCCTGTGTTCTGAAACCAGACTCGCTGACATACAGGCACATTTTCCTCACAGACTGCACACTCTCACCTCTCGAACAGGTATCTGACGAGGAGCAGGCAGAGGGCGCAGGGCACCGCTGCATAAAGCTGAGAGGCTTTAGCGTAGACACGACCTTCACTGTCCTCCAGATTAGCCCAGGAGACGTTCCCGGGCAGCCACAGACGCTCCCACCATAGCCAGTCACTGACTGTCTGCAACATGCTGATTGGAGGGTTCACCCAGGGGCAATAAAACACTCAATCAGAGAGCCATGAAGCAAGACGTGAAGTTTCAGGGTCAGGCTTTAAAATGAAATCTTTTTTTCAATTCAAACGTGTAATTGTAAAAGAAGATAGTGACGTCTGTGTAGGCTTTCCTGAAAACCTGCTGCAACGGAGAACTTTGACATTTTGAAAAGCAAACACAGTAACTTGCCTTTTTATTAGGTCTTTATATGTATGAACTTTATTAGGAAACATAATTTTGCATTTTTACCTTTCATTTGTCTTTTACTTCATTTATTCATCTGTTAATATATCAAGTATTTTGGTTTGTTTTAAGTCTTAGTTCACAGCATTCTTTTCTCCCTCTCTCTCTCTCTCGTGTTATTTTGTGTAAAGCCTTTCTGTGACACTTATATAACTAAGGCTTTATAAATAATGTCTGATTGATTGATTCAATTATTGATGGATAGGTGTGACTTCAGAAGCGAGAAGTCACGCAAAATTTGTCATTTTTTCCTACATATTGGTTAATTTTTGGACTCCGAATATGATTTAGATCAAATATTTTTGTTAAAGTGGAGAGCACAAAGTAGAGCCAATGCAGAGCTCATAGAGTGTAACTCTATGGCAGAAACAAACAGTTAATAAATGAACACTGGAAACAGACTGGCAAGAATTTCAAGACAAAAATGCACCACTACTTATTTTGTCTTGAACCTTCACTTGTGATTTGCCACTACCTCCTACTGGTCACTTGCCAGTAGAACCACTGTATTCACCACACTGTGTGAACTGGCCTGCAGTAATGGAGGAAATGAGTCATTTGGAGATGGAGAACAACTATAGATATCAAAGGGCAACAAAGATAAAGAAGGGTGAGGACCAAGATTAGAGAGAAGTAAATTCCTTGCTCTCGTGGACTCTGCCCACAACAGAATAGATAAAAAAGAAAATTTTATCTGAGCAGTTGAAAAGCAACGTTAAAAATTTGCAATCAAAACTGTCTCGACAAATAGGCATGCTAATAAAAATTGCTTAATCTGATTAATTCAATGAGATATTAGGGTGTCCATGATACTTAATGCGAGTTAAGCCAGCATGGGAAGACGAGCATACATACCTGCAGGCAGTGTCCTCTTGACAAGTTACAACATAAGAGAGGGGAGCTGAGCAGATGCAGACAGTGTGTGACAAATATCCAAAGAAAGCAACGTCTTTAAAAGTTGGAATATCTGAAAATCTAAAAATCTTAAATTTTCACACCTTCAAGTGTCCCGGTATTTTAATTTATGGTCAATCGATGCACATCAGTGACAGAAAACTGTCAATACTGTACACACTCACACAGAATCCCATACTCACCTTCAGTTAGTCAAGCTCCCACGGACCTGTCTATGTGAAGCCAGTCTGTTAATCATACAGTTTATGTAAAACACCTATTCCTCATCAGATAGTATATGTTATCACTCTCTGCTAAGACCTCTGGGAGAGTTTAGATAAAACAAATATTGACTCATGAGCTAATGCTTTCCCTAATGTGCTTGATATTTGTGTGAGGCGACAGGCTCCAGTGAGCAAGTCGTTTTTTTTTTTGAGTATGTGTGTGTGGTCGCTCACCTGGTTAGAGAGATCAGGATCCTTTCCTCCCACTCGGTCTGCTCGTGTGGTCACACCCTGTTGCTTGCAGCAGGTCCTTCAAGGAGAGGTGAGCTCAGCACTGGAAAGTACTCTCATGCTGTGGGAGCGTTCAGTATTCTCAGTTGTAACGGTAAACTACTGCAGTTATTAGAGTGTTTTGCATACCCTCACCTGCAAGAATTCCCTAGGAATGCTGGGAAGCCCCCCCACAAAGGCCCCATTCAGTGGTGGAGCAGGGGGGGGGAGGGAGGAGGAGCCAAGGCAGGTTATGGACGGAGGAGAAAAAGGGAACTTGTTCATGCAACAGAGAGAATAAAACATCACTCTGTGTAGACTCCTACTCTGGTTAATAACAAACCTGTTAATATAAATTATATGACCTTGGTTACAATTGACTGTTTCCCCTGCACAGGTTGTCTGACACATTTCACCAGGTGTCTTTTTATACTTCAATGTAAAAATAAGAGAAGTCTGAAACAAAACAGAAAAGGACCTGGAGGTGATTAATTATGAGTCTAAATATTAAGCTTCAATATTGAAATACAGAACAATGAATTGTCATGGTGTTTCTCACTTTACACCAGTAGGGGGCAACAGAGACAACACAATACATGCAGGTTCCCTGTCAATGAGGACATATTGGTAACACCCTATAAGTGATGCATAAGGGATGCATGATAAGTGATGTTATTTTTAAATGAGAATTTCTCAATACTGACTGCAAAACAGGTGATACTTCCAATCTTCCATTTTTATGTCAGAGATAAAAACACTGAAATAAAACACAACACCACATTAAGGTTTAGAAGGAAAAAAAACAATATAAAAAACATGTCCTTCTTTATTGATAATTTTAACATTTTTTTATATATCAAAACCTCTACAAGCACTTTTGTTGATGCTAGCTTGCTGTACATGTTTTCATCTTTCGCTGGTTCTACAAGGCAGCACTGCTACATGTGTGGAAGTTGAGATAACAGAGGAGCAGTGGCCTAAGTGCTGGTTCGTGAGCAAACACACAAAACAAGAAAAAAACAGCAACCAAAAAAAAAATAAAGAAAAGTCAAGTTCCAGTAATGTTTTCTTTTTGGGGGGGGCACGGCAGGGGGAGTCTTTCTTTAGATTGTTCAGCGCTCCATTTGTCTTATTCAGCCCGAAACCAACGAGTGGTATAAACAACTCTGGAAAAGATTAGGAGGATAAAAAAAACAATCTGTTGGTCTGGATGGTCTCTTCTCAGACCCCAGGTGTTATGTATGCAGATAGGCAGGACAGACGGAGGGGTGAGGCTCCAGGCACAGACAGGAGAGGCTAATCTGGATTGTCCTCCCCCTCCCTCTGCCACCCGCTGTCCCTTTCCCTCCTCTTTCTGCTCTCCCTACGCCAACCTGTTGCGCTTTAGTGTCACTGGGTGGCGTGGTCCCCCAGCTCTGTAAAGCTGGTGGAGTGGCTAGGCTTGGTGGAGTGCTCCTCTGGACCGGGGGCTCTTTGTCGCGGAGGCAGTGTGGAACACCGAGCTTTGCCTCGGGATCGAGGCTGCTGAGGTGGAGGGCCTTTCAGTGCAAATAGTTCACTGGGGGCTTTGGGCCGTTGGGCTGGAGGGGACGTGGTGGGGTTGGTGGATGAAGGTGATACCGGTGTGTGTGGAGGAGTAAATGGGTTGGATGAGGCTGATAATGAGGAGTCAAGAGGAAAGAGGGGGGTGAGCGTGGCTGTCTGATTGAACCTGGTGAGGCTGGTGGAGTGGCTGGGCCGTGGCAGGCTGAAACAAGTCTCGGCCCCTCTGTGGCGGGAAGGCAGGGTGGAGCAGCGGGCCTTTGCCCTTGAGCCTGGCTCTCTGGGAGGAGGAGGAGGAGCAATAAGCGAGAAGAGCCTCGTGTCAACACTCGATTCTGTTAGTCCTGCCGTTGAGCCCTTCAGACTTTGGGTCGAGCCCGCGTGAGATGACGGATTCGATGGAGGCTCGTGGTCTTTCTGGACTTCCTGTTTGGAGCCTGAGCGAGGAAATTCTGCATTTAGAGTGACGCTCAATGATGGTTCCTCATCTGCATGACAAGAAAAAACGCAGATTAGTGTTGAGACACGGATAGTACGATATCACATTGAAGACAACAGATGAATTCAGTTTTCTCCTCTTACCCAGCAGGCCCAGTTCCATCATTAAATCGTCCAGATTGAAATGCTCGTCCACAGCCGTCTCCACTTCCACTTCCTTTTCTTCCTCCTTTCTTTCTGTTTCTTCCTCTTCTTCTTTTTCTTCTCCCCCCTCTTGCTCAATATCTGCCTTTCCTTCTTCTCCTTTTAGTTCTCCCTCTTCCACTTTTTGTTCGCTCTCCACCTCCTCAACTTTTTCTTCTTCTTCTCCTTCACCTCCTCGTTCTTCCTGTTCATCGTCTTCAACATCTTTGAACATCTTTTCAGCCTCCGGATCACCATCACTTGTTCTTCTGAGTACATCCAGACTGAGAACATCTCCCTCCTCCTCCTCGTCCTCCTCCTGCTCTTTCTCCTGCTCTTTCTCCTGCTCCTCCTGTTCATCTGGTGGTTCCTCCACCACAATGTCTATGGTGCTGGTGGGGACGCAGGTTACAGATGGTCTTGGAGAGAGAAATTTGGCACTTGCTTCTTGGTCTTGATTCAGCAAAAACTCCATCAGCATCATGTTCTCTTTCTTCAACTGATCCCGCAGCGATCGTGGTACGTCTGGGACCATCCAGGCAACCAACATGCTGAGGAACATGGCGAGGTTCTGTCGGGAAAAGATGATTAAACCTTTTATTCTGCAATGTATTATTTAAATTCACAAGAGTGTGCTTTCAGTTAATGCTTCCTATTTGTACAGCAGACACTGTTTTTTTTTTGGATCAGAGGATATCTACTTTTAGGGGAGTAATTGGTTCTTACAATCCACCTGGTCCATAGAAATCCACTGATCCGGAGTCAGGTCAATATCGACCTTGTTATACTGACTGGGCGTCAGGGACCGGCATAACTGATTCAATCTGTCGTATGGATTCACTTTGTCAATGGCAAAGCTTTCCATCAGCATTTACTGTATCCTCAAACACACCCAGTCACTGCAGTTTCCAGATTTTTTAGTGCCACTATAATCCCTGAAGTTATTACATAAAAATAATCCCAATATGTTCCACAGAGGGAAGTATACAGATTTCAAATTTGGGATAAAAAAAAAAATTATATCAAGAATCAGTATAAGCAGATAATCTAGGTTCAGATGTATGATATCTTTAAGAGGACCAGAGCGTCCCTACTATCTATTATACTAAATTAATGTTAACTTAATACCCACAATAAGTGCAGACAAAGGGAAAGAATTTGTGAAAAGGCAATTCAAAAATGATAGGTCTCCTGATTGCTTTTCTGAAAGACAACATAATAAGCAGCACACCTGCCATTAAAGAAACCCTGGTTAATATATTAGAGAAAGAAATAATTGGAAATCGGACAATTTAAAAAAAAACTGATATTAATATAAACACATTCTTTTTAATACCTGGAAGAAAATGACAAAGACAAGTTTTGCTGCCAGCGTGGACCAGTACTCTTTAGAGAAGCTGTAAGGGTCTGCCTCCCACGGTGCGTCTCTGTAGTCCTTATATCTGAAAAACACAGACACTAAGAGTGTTAGTCGGGAGGAACTTTGAATGCATGAGTGAACATTGCTATGGCATGGTAATTCTTGGAAAGATTAGTCTCAGTAAAATCCCTGCTATAAATGACATTTTACACTTTCTGAAAAGTCCTGGACAAGTTTTGTATTTAGATAAAGTAAGAGGTAATCTGCAGGGCTCAGGATTTAAAGGAAATCCAGGTATGTCAAGGTCAAGATAGTCACTCTGACCTGCACATGGAGATGGTGGTGGGTGGCGCAGTGCCCGGTGGAAAGTTGCTGACATTAAAGTAGGCCAGTGAGTGCTCGGTGTATCCATCCATAGTGCCATTCACACTGTACATGTACTGGTAAATCATCCGTGGGACAAACTCCGATGTGAAGGAGATGACAAATGCCTGAGAGGACGAATAAGAAGTGGAAATGAAAACTGTTCAACATAAAAGTTACTGCAGGGACATGATATAGATGCTTATTATCAATTACATACTATATCTAACACAACTACATACATGTCAACAACATTTTACAAAATATCTTATACATCCTCTTGAATTTAAGTCTTTATTTTTTGACTATGTAACAGTCATTTTCTATATCCCTGTGGCCACACATTGATGTTTAGAAATTAGCTTAGCTTCTTGAGCTCATCAGAGATAAAACACGTGTAAGGGGATGTTTTTGTTGTTTTTTTCTTGTTGTTCTTTAAGAAGGATTTTTGTGTTTTAAGGACTGCCTATTTTCATTAACGCACTTGTAACTGTTTTAAATGATCTCAGTGGTTTTCTGAGTGTTTGATGTGTTTTTGCTTGTTTTACTGTGCTTGTAATCTCGACGGCATTGGAAATGAGGGAAACGTCGGTGTCTTTTTCGAGACTGAATAAAGGTTTGAAAAAAAATGAACACAACAGTGGGGGGAAAAAAAATGTGCATTTGTTAATGCTTATAATCAAACTATCCATCCAATTCTCTCAAAACGCTCCAGCTAGTTTAAAAAATGTCACATGCGTACTGATAAGACCCGTGGGAGACAAATCATATTGAATTCATAATTAATTCCTTCAACTATCTCACTAATCTCCTTTGGAACAATCTTTCAGCTTAAGTGTGGGAGGCAGCAATCCTCTATATTTAAAGGTAAGTCTAACACTGTGCTTTTTAATCAGACATTTAGTAAGGGTTGGCTCAGGCTCGCCTTACTCCAGCTCCTAATAATGCGGCAAAAGGGTTTAGACTGCCAGAGGAACTGAGTGTAAATCATCACAGGATTTGTTGTTGTTTTGGGCTTTAGAAATAAAATACTCTGATACTTTAATACTTTCATAATCACTACCATACACCACAGGAAACAGTTCACAGCTTAAGCGGGACAACATTTTACCCAGAGTCATTGAGGAAGACTAAGACATATATCTAAAGATACCCTGGGAGATTTGTCACCGCTGGATGCACTACAGAGTGCCTGTTTTGTGACACCATATAAAAAACTGCCACTTTTTTCTGCTATATCACTTGTGTCATCGGCTGTAACACACGAAAGCATGTGGCAAAGAAGAAACAGAGTCAAGATAAATGAAGACTGTCAGCTACTGAGCACAAATACATTGATGCCAATTAATAAAAACACGACGCAAAGTTTCAAGATGAGAGAAAATGCATTCAGTGTGTTTGTTCGACCTCAATTATCCACGAGTATTGATTGGAAAAAGTTCATGTAAACTAGAGCCTGACCGATTAATTTGCCAGCCGATAATACCGGCTGATATTAGCACATCACTTGACTATCGATATCGGCTAATTTTAAGTGCTAAAACAAGTAGGCTTATTCAATTTTATTTGTATTATTTCATTTTATATAGTTTATGTTTACAATTGTTAATTTAGGGGTTCAGTGCATTGTTGTTATTCTGGCCAATAAAGACTTTTGTTCAACTGTAAGAAAAAAAATATTTTCCTCATTAAATGTATTTTTCACAAGTGTTTGATAACTGCATTTGAGGGATCAACGCAATAAATGTGTTTATCTATCTCTCTATCTTTGATCTCTAAAGATCTCTAAAGAGCTCTAAAGATCGAAGATAGATCTAAGAAAGATATCGGCCCTTATATCGGTATCGGAATTTTTTTTCCTCCCCAATCAATATCGGTATCGGCCTCAAAAATCCAATATCGGTCCGGTCCTGCTGTAAACATTTCTTTTAAGTTTATCTATTTAAAACATCCTGTTTGAAAAGTAAAATGGTTGTATTGAAAACGAAAAGATAAACAATCATTGATCATTTTTAAATACATACATATACAAACTTTAGAAAGACATTCTCCAGCAGAGTTCAAATGATATGATCAGAATAGACATACACACTCATTCACACACACTTACATTGGTTATGACAGAGAACTTGCTGATTCCACAGAGAATTTTGTACCAAACCCCTGAAGAGAGCATGTTCATGCAAAGAGAAAAAGAGAGCAAGGGAAGTGTGGCCAATCATGTGATTGTGTGTGTGTGTGTGTGTGTGTGTGTGTGTGTAGTTGTGTAAAGGAAAGTGACAAACAGACAAACATGAAGACAAAAAGATGGAAAAAAAACAGAGGGGCAGAGTGGAGGAGAGGAAAAGAAAGCCATTGTTAAAAGTTGAAAGAAAGCTTGTATCACATCCACACAGAGACTGATAAGAGTCGACATGCTCATGCCTGATCTGTACCTATGTCTTTACACCTCACAGCATCAGGCCGCTGGATCTCAGTGACAAATTTTGCAGCATCGAGACGGATCTCGATGATGTTGTTGAGCAGAGCGAATGCCGGCGCCAGTGGGAAAGAGGCGACGAAAAGAGACACAAACCCGTACTGGATCACTGTGAATATTTAAACACAGGTGGAAACAGAAATGGTTTAAAACATGAAATGTATTATCTAAGCATTGAGAGGGTTCATGAGTCAAAAGGCTTGGGAGAGAGGCTCACTCATTTCCATGTACTCTGGGGTCACTCCTTCGTACGGTTCAAGGATGATATCTTTGTCAAATTGTTGCTTTGGTCTCTTCTCTTCTTCATCATCCTCATCTGCTTCTCTTTTCTTTCCTTTATTCTCCTGTATTGTTCTGTACATTTTTTTCAGCTTACTGCAAAGCAACAAAGGGAAGTGTTGCAGTGAAGATAGCAAGGGACTGGACAGTTTTGTGAGAAATGTTTGCAATTAAGTTCATCAAAATAAACTGACGGTATGAGAACTTCGAACACATTGTTCTGGATGAGCTGCTTTCCGAGCATGATCATGCTGAGCTGGATGCACAACTCAATGAGGCAGCCCGGTGGAGCACACTGTGGACAAAAAACACACACCTCATCAAGCAGATGCACATTTTACTGTAAACAATCAAAGACACTAAGTGTAACAGAAACTACCTCCTCCATGCGATAGTCCCCAAAGACGTAAACATAATCGCCAGGCCGCCCAGCAAACCTGCAGGATGAGAGGATAGCGGCCACATGATCAGGAATAAGAAGAAAAGAAAGTGTATTCAGTGCTGTTGTACTTTATAAAAGACACACACCTGCCCTTAAAGAAGGCAACGTAGAAAATAGGTGCAAAGGCGTTCATGGACTTGAGAAAGAAAGACTTAAAGATCAGCCTCTCTTGAAACTCTTCCTTTGTCTTTGGCAGTTCTGTAGGAAAGGAGACACAATATTTTAAACACACTGTGATACACACCTGGTCATGTTTAATCCCCCCCCCCATTAAAAACTCGTGCTTCCTTAATCAGCAACTTTGCCTTTTATGTTAAAAGCACTTGACTTGTATTGTTTTACAGTTTATTTTATCCTTCAATGTTTTTAAAACAGAACAAGTGATTCTGTGGCTTTTTGTTTGTTTTGTTGAGATATTTCTGTCTAAAAACAAAAACATCCCCAAAGAGTTTTCCTTAACATTCAAAGGATTGGATGAAGAGAAGAATATCTAAAATGAACCATATTGTTTTTTTTGTTTTTTTTTTAGATTTCTTTCTTGAAACATTAATTGGAGAACAGAAAAATAAATGTGATTGATAATTACAGAAATCGTTTTTGTAATCCGTCTTATTGTCTACAGTATAATGCAATGCGATGTGATGATTTTTTGTATTTTTTTGGTGCCCTTTTTATATTTGAGAAATTTTGTTCTATTTCATTTAGATGAACGTAAAAAATCTTAAAGGTACAGTACCATCTACAAACCTTTAAAACATAATTAATCAACCCAATAGCAGGCATTTCTTTGATTCAACCTTAAACAAAATGTTGCCACTTCTAATCTCCAGTTAAAACATCCGGGTACTCATTTGTTCAGCCACAACACAGAAGCTGTTAGAGAACATTACAAGTCATAAGGCCTCCTTATTTGATGCTTTACTTCATAACAGAATTGAATCAAAAATACCCAGCTCGGTCAGCCACTCAGCGATTGCTCCGTAGACCTCCTCCAGCACCAAAACAATAAGCATGTTCAGGATGATGCCTGTGGTGGTGACAGTCATCCTCACGCTGGCCTTGGCGTCGTGATCGGGGTTCATGGACCACACGGTTAACATGCAGATACGGTAAACTGCCACCCCGACCACAGCCGAGAAGGTTACGAAGATCTAGAGCACACACAACAACATCATACAGTTAGAGGACCAACAACTCTGGTGTATTTGTTTTTCTTCTTTCATTTCTGCTGGATGAAAGTATGTTCTTTTTATTATTATTTTCTAGTTATAGCGTTTACCATTTTCCCAGTCTGTCATCTATTGTATTCTTGCTGTGATCTATTGTACTTAAATATGTGGAATAATCTGAATTAACATACGAAATGAAACATGATCTATGCCCCTAATTAAGATGAGGAAATAATGGATTTATTATAGGACACAGTGAGGATAAATGATTTTGAAAAGACAGAAGGAAATGCCTGGTATACCATCGTAAAATATGATCATAATCTGAATGTTGTGTGATTAGCTGGAGGTTAGAAAATAGACAAGAGTAGAGTAGAAATGCAGTACCAGTAGTAGTAAGGTTGACACATTGATGAGTAAACCTGACAGGTGATCCTCAATATCCAGAGACTCCGGCTCTCGCTGTGCAGAAAAAAAATATTCATATTAATTTGATGAATTTAAAAAAATAAAAAATACACATTACATTGTGAAATCAGTGAATACATGCACAGTAATGTAATGTGTAGTAATCCTTAGCACATGTTTTGCCCACACATTATGTTTACTGTCTGAGAGGTGTAAGTGTGTCGTCTCAAAGGACAGATATCCCCTCCCCTCCTTCCTCTCTTCTCCTTGTTTCTCTCTCCATCCGTAATCTGGGCTAATCTCAGGCAGGTAAGCAGCTTTGGACTCAACCACCCCACTGTTGGTGGGGGGGGGTTTCCTTTTCATGGGCTAACATAAATTGAAACAGACAGAGATTCTAATACGTCCTAATATCTGATCATTTTTCAAAATCGTTTTTGAAACCTTTATGTCCATAAAAACTTTAACTTGTATTTTAAAATAATTACATTTTAGTCTCTAATAACGTTTCTGTAATCAAAGAAAAGCTAGACAGGCAGTCATATTTTGTCATGCAGTGACAGTTGCTCACCTTCGCTACGTGTTAGAAGGGCTGTGCATCTGCGCATTTGCTAATGAACAAGTTTAAATCCCCCACCCAACCCCTCCCCCCACCAAACCCCCTGCAACTCTGTTCGCATGATGTCCCATCCCAGAAAGCGATGATACCTGGGAGGACAGCATCTGATCCGTTTCTCCATCCACACCAGGCACCGCTTGACTCATCTGCGTCACAATAAAAACACAGATTTAGACAGATTGTCAGTAAAATTCTGGAATTTATTTCTAAGTGCAGTTTTCTGTAATAAGTCCTAGAAATGTGATTCAAACACACAAATAAAACGATACCTTCTTCTTGGACATTGCTTTCATCTTAGCTTTTTTCTCCTTCAGAGCCTCTTCATATTCAGGCCTCAGCTCCTCCTGCAGCACATACACACACTTGTTACATTTGGTCATGAACACAAACACCAAAACAAAAGACTTTGTAACACATTTTTAAATGAACAAACAAAACAACATTGCAGCTAAAGGAATCAATGTCCAGAATTGACCTTTGTTTAACCGGAAAACCTCGATGAGATCAAAAGTCTCTTTTCCAAAGTGTCCTGGCCAATACAGGCAGCAGCACAGTTAAAGTTTCTGACACAACGAGCAGCCATACATAAAAACATAATATAAGATACATAATTGTGATACTTTCAAAAACTAACAAACTAACAAATTAAAACCACAAATACATTTCAAGATCACCCACAATCATTAAGATATCTGGCAGAACATCCACACCTAGATGTGTCTGCCTCCAAGTCATTTAGCATTCACTTATAATCATCCAATGAGAGCTGCTCATTAAGTTTCAGGTCTCTGGTACTCCAGGATAAAGTCAGAGACGTCATACCAAAAGCCCTAAGAGGTGATAGCCTATAAGGTGTCATGTTTCCAAAAGAAATTCAGATATTTCAAAAAGGGAGCAGACCTGTAATGTTTATGTTTTCATGTTCTTTTTGTTCACAGGAAGAGAATATTCATCACAGTGTAAACCTGGTCTTCTAGCTTCCAGCTAATCTATTTCTTGTAAATATTTCTTGCACTTATTGCTTGATATCTTACTTACTTACAATTCCTATTTTAGTAATATTTGATCGTATATAACTATTTCTATTGCAATATTGTGTTTAGAGCAACTGTAACGACCAGATTTCCCTCTGGGATTACTAAAGTATTTCTGATTCTGATTCTCATGGACAGCTCAGTTTCTGACTCTTATTTTAAAAGTGAAGAGTAAGTGTGCAGAAAATGTGACCAACTGAAGAAATAAGTTATATTTACATGCCTTTAAAAAAAAGTGTTTCTTTAGGTGTTCTTAAACAGCTTATAAATATACCAATAAATACAATTACTAAAAAAATACAGCTTAAAAAAAACAGATTACACAGTATTAATGTGGGTAAGGATTTAGACACAATGCCCACCTGCTTCCGGTCCTTCAGGCCGCAGAACAGAGATAAACAGGACAGAAACACACAAAGAGAAACGAGTGTTAGGCTTGAAGTGTTTATGTTAACGACCATGCTGTGTCATTTCATCCAGTAAGCACAGCGCTTTACCAACACACCAATCCCATTACAGCTCCTTAGAGGGGCAAAGAGTCATGTTAATTCATGTATGCATGGGTGACCAGCTATATGTGTGTGTGTGTGTGTGTGTGTGTGTGTGTGTGTGTGTGTGTGTGTGGGTGGCTCGTAAAGTGTTTAATGATAATCTGTGAGGTGAATTCTTGACCTCTGACTGTCGTCATTGCAGGGTGACACTGCCACCCTAACTCACCTTGAATCAAAAAACAAACAAATAATTGCTTTTACCTCCTCGTCCTCCAAGCTGGTCAGATCCCACGTATGTTTCAGACACATCTCTCGCCTCTTCCAGTGCTCGAGGAAACAGGCGGCTTCAAGACAATACAGAAAAGGAGTATGTTAGAAATCATTGGTTGTTTAAAAAGAATCAGACCTTTGATTGAGCTTTTTTGTCAGACAAGAAAGAAAAGCATATTTTTTCTCAGAAACAGAGTGAGGATGAATTTCTCCTTGTTTAACAGCTGCCCTCTCTAAGCACACGAGCCAAACACTTAATTTGAATTTCTAAAAGTTAAGATCTGTTGTCAGATATCACATAAAACAAAAATGATTGTGCCCACTATGTCCTAGTCTAGCGAAATATAATTGCAAAAATCTTGTGTGAAAAATGCATTAGAACATATAGTTACCCCACAGGGACATAAAAATTGCAAAGAGGGTCGTGGCTCCGTTGTCAAACAGGTATGATGCTCGGGACAGAGAGCAAACAGTGCTCAGCTGCCAGTAGTCACAGACGCCATCACACAGCGGACACATGGTTATGTTCAGGTTGTCATCACATGTCTCCTGGCTGGAATAAACATTTTAAAACAAACATAGAGAGTTAACTAAACCCCAAGCATAATGATTAAATAACCCTGAGAAGCATTTGTAAGTCTGAAGAGTTGGTGTCAGCCTACCTTGGCACATTGGCATCCACAGTGAAGAGGCCGTACAGGAAGACAATGATGCCAAGTACAGAGGGAGGGATGAGGAGCTGAGTATAAACACCCAGCCAGGCAAAGTAAAACCCAATCTGCTCTCCAAAGTACTTCCTGTTAAATGAAAAGCAATGGGTCAACTAGCTGCCCTGGTTTAATAATGTGTCAACGCTATCTTTTTGGTTCCACCTAAATTTGAAGGAATTTCCATTGCTATCTATTTGGTCCATGTTAAGTAGCTGCCTAGAGGGCAAATAAAGCATCTCTTCTTCTTTATAACACAATCTATCTACTGTACATGTTCCATTTTGACATATTAAATATCAGAAAAAATGAATGGAACAACAGAAAAACACTCCCTTGTTCTTCAGACTGGACAGCCTTTCTTTTTTAACTTAACTTAACTCTATTAAGCACCCTCAGACTAAACTATCTACAAAGCAAGTCAAGGATTTACACATAAGTAATTATCATTTCAAAATAAAAATATCCAGAGCACATCATGACACATTTATGGAGTAGTAATCTTTGAACAGTCACAACAAACTTGACATATTCAGCCCCACTAGTAAATCTATGTCAATAGCAAAAAAAAAACATCAGTCTATCAGTTCAGTCCAACACTTTCTGTTTTAATTAGTATGTTTTTCCTGTATTTTAACTGTATTGATTTGTACAGCACTTTGATTTAAAGCACTTTATAAATAAATGTATTATTATTAGAGGTTAGTGGATGTGAGTCAGTACCTGATATGGTCCACAGGCTGATATTTATGCATAACTCCATAGTTAGCCCATTCTTCATGTAGGAGCTGAAGGACAAGCAACACAATAACACAGCTCATTAGCAACATAAGCTGTTAATCATATCATTAGGATACACAGTCAGACTGAACACACGTGGTGTCGATGCAATGTCGTCAAAAACAAACAAGCAGCTTTGTAGAACTAAAATACTACGGCAACGAGGCTAGTGTCAATAAACACCACCTGATATATAATACAGATGAAGTACTCTGATATTTAATTAGTTTGACTTGTACTGTAACTTGTATAAGATTTTTCTATCCCATTAATCAACACGTCATTAGAAGCCACTCACCTGTCTGTCATTACGCTGATCTTTTCTTCCTCTTCTTGTGAAGGACCCCTTGAGAGAAAAAAAACAAGACAGGATCTTTAGTTTGGATAGAAAGCCTCATATTACGGCATGTTGTGTTTTCTTTAAACATGAAGTCAATACTGCAAATATATTGACTAAACTGCCTCATATGGTTCAATCAAGTTTGAATAAATGCATTATGACATGAAACACAGACAGGCGGTACTTGTCTGGTAAAGTGTCTTCTGTTATACTCACATCATGAAGAGGGAAGGCAGATTCATAGACACCCTGAGACAATAATGAGTTCATGCCTTGTGACACAAAGAGGAGGGGTAACACAGCATCACAGAAACGCTCAGCATATGGACACGGGAAGAATAAGACTTAGACTGACAGCATGCATATGAACCACATATGAGTGAATGAAACAACAGATAGAGTTAGAGCTTACCAGTGGTTTGGCAGGTTTGTCTGCAGGTGATGCGTGATATAATCTCAGCCACCTAGACTCAAACAAAAAGCAAAGTCCAAAATATGACGTGTGCTCAGGTGAACAAAAAAATCTCATGACAGAAATTTAGTGGATGTTCATTTCCTGACTCACTATTCTGCTGCGTGTTGAATTGTCAAACACCGTGTCTGTCGACTTGATGTCGTACCTGCGGGACATGACGAGAGCGGTCACAAACCTGCTGTTCATTTCTGACACTGTGTGTGTGTAAGTGTGTGAGAGTTTAGCGACTCACAGGTGGAGTTTGTCTCTGATGAAAGGGTATTTAAGGGTTTTTGTGTCTCTCTGGATGTCAAAGTCGGGGACGTCTGGTTGAAACGGTGTGTTCAGTGTCGTCATAATGGAATCCCAGACTCCGGCAAAGCCTGTCGGTTTCCGCAATTCAAACTTCTGCTCAATGAAACAAAACAGTGCACTATGTCACATTTATCACACAAAATATCCACCCTATGAACTATTCATGGCATGCAATTGATTTCTGACATACAAACTCCTTAGTCTTGAAATGCTCATATGATACCAGGGTGTGTGGTTGACTGTGAAAAAACAACGCTGACCTTTTTCACAGCAACTTTGATTTTCTGAAGCTCTGCTTCTCGGCTGAGTATTGGCCATGGGATGTGCAGCCGAAGAAACCGAAGACTGTTTAACCTCTGCACAAGAAAAAAACAAAACACAGAGATAAAAATGGAATAAGAAACATTACATGTACTACTAGTAACTACAGTATACCTAGCATAGCTTCACAACATCAATCAGATGTATCGTCCATATACGGATAACAAGAGGAGGAATATGTTTGATAATTACTCCTGGCCTAATTGTAGGAGATTAATTGTCAGCCTGTCTTCCCTACTCCATTTGTCTTTGCATTTAACTGCTCCTGCTCCTTGTCCCGAGGCCACCAGATGAGCCTTCTCTAAACCTGTAAGTATGCTACTTTGTGTTATAATGAGGCTTTTTTGTGTGGAATCCCATTATTTCAAGCCCTGAACCATCCAAATCCTCCAGAGTATAGGACATGAGGGCCGATCATTATGACCCCATGGGAGAGGTGCATGAAAGCCTCTGCAATAGTACCAATTATCAATTTGGATCATGAGAAAATTGACGAGCTATTATCCTGCTTCCGCTAATGCCATTACTGTCATCATTACTGTCATCATGACATTGGTGCAGGTCAGATACCAGAGTTCATGTCGTAACAGCACCTGCTGCTGTGTGATACCATCCTCTACCAGCAGTTTTTCTACATCATTGTCAGGCTACTGAAGTCCTGATCAGAAATGAAAGTATTGAGGCAAACCTGGCGAATTTAGATAAAACCAAAATGACTTTACAATATTGAAAAAGAGATGTGTTTTGATTGAAAGTTGATATGTTCATAGTCTGTCTAAAGAATGAGATTGTAAAAAACTAATATAGACTCTCCTGTCTGTGCAAATAAACTTCACATTTTAGGTTTTCTATGTGTTTTCCACGTGTGTTTTGATATGTTAGTGATTGTCTGGGATTTTGTTTTTGTCTGTGTATACCGTTGTGTGGGATTGTGTGTGTTGTGTATTTTGGCAGAGGATTAGGACTGTGACCGTAAGTGTGAAGCCAAAAGCCAGATTATAGGGCCTTATTAGAGAGAGTGATCCACTGCTCGGAAGTGTGCTAGCTGACACATGAAGTTGAATGAGGGGGGCGGATGGGGGGGGGTTGAATGCTGGGTTGGATGTTTCATTGAATGGGTCAAAGATGGCGCTCAGTCTTGTCTAATTGTTCTGTATCAGTTTGTGGGCTTGCTTGAGCTACAAAATTGAAAAGTCATTCTTGAAACTATTAATCGAAAATAAAACCATCATGACCCACTGATGTTAATAAGTTCTCTCTTTAATTAGAGGTCAGCCATGTTCCTCTGCTTCAGGAGACAGACTAAGTCTTATCCTTAACCTGTATGGCAGTCATCCAATCCAATGGCTTTGTAGTCACATGACCTTAGGACGCCATCTGACCCAAAATTGTCAATTGAAGTGTACACGAGATTAAAGAAAAAAAGAATCACCTTGAAAGCACTGTAAAAGCAGACACAAACAAACCTCTTTGTCACGCTCAATCTGCAGTCCGGCTTCCAGTAGATTCGTTTCAAACTCCTCCCTCATTACGGCCTTTTCCTCCTCTGTCAGCTTCGACTCCTCCAGGTCTATTGCAGCCGGACCTACCTCCCCAGACTCCACATCAAATCGGCTTATAATTGGTATCGGCATTGGTATACTCCCATTGGATGCAATGGAAAGGCGCGGCTTGGATGCTCGCCTTTTTTTGTATTTGTAGCAAAGGACGTAGTCCACTTTTCTTTTTCCATCAGCAAAATAAAGCCCAGGGCCGAGTTCGATGCCGGACTCCTAAAAAAGATCGCACACAGGTCATTGTTGTAGGAAGTGGTGAGGCTTACATGCAAACACTTAGGAACAACTTAGGGGTCATTTCAGTTGATAAAGAGCTGTCATATTACTTCAGTATGATTACACTACTAGATGTGAATGTTTAAGTTAAGAAGAGACCATACTGGAGGCGGGGTGTCGTTGTTTGCAGGGAAGTTGACAGTGCCTCCATTAGAGGCTTCAAGCCCGAGCCCGGATATTGATCGGGCCAATGAAACCAGCTTTGCTGAGTGAATGGACGATGTCTCACTCATCTCTGTGGTGACAGGCAGATGTTCTTTTCCGCCTCATCCCTCTGGTGGTTTAGAAAAGAAAAAAACAGGACGTTAGAATTTAGAAGTTGTTTGTCTCCCAGTTCTGAAGTGTGAATTTAACTCTTAAATAATACAAACATTGTGTGTGTGTGTGTGTGTGTGTGTGTGTGTGTGGGTGGGGGGGGGGGGGGGCCAGGTCTGAAAAAAATGAACATGACTGTATTGGAAAAATTCCTTTTTCTTTAATGGAAGCTCATTAATGCCACTTGGTTAGAAATAACATACGTCAACGTTTTTCTCATAATTATGATTTATAAACTTAGGTAAAGGGTTGTGAATCATTTTCAGAATATACCACAACATGTTTCAATATATTAACATACTGTACATATATTGCACTTTATTTAATTGACAGGTTTTTGGAATAACAATAAATATATATTAAGAGCTGATTGCGATTATTATATAATCAACTCTTGCAGGTCAATTTTAGGTTGATTTAAAAAAAAAAAATGTCCTGTTTTGAAAATCACTCAGTAGTGGCTGTTTTAGACTGACGGATCAACTGTGATCCAAAGTTAAGCTGCCTCATCTCTTTTTTTTACCCAAATGAAGCTGTAGGCACAGATTAAGCTCCGGATGGAATCCAAGCTGCACAGTTTACAATCTGCTGAGGTAATTTTATCACTGGGCGCATTCTTTAGAGATAAAGACTGAAGCGTTGAGAGTCAACTGAGTTGTTAAATCTCACACCACTCAAAGACGATTACATTGCACAGAAATTAAATATGGACCAATTTCATTCCATTTTAATGCAAAACTGATTAATAGCAAATGTAGTTTTTTCTTTTTTTTTTGCATATTATTTATTCAACTGTAACTGGATATTCATACAATACTTGAAACAGTATTCAGTTTCATTTCAAATTAAAAACAAGAAAGGTCTGTAGATGTTATATCTCATGGTTGCAGTAAACAAATTTCAAAATGTGTAGATACTCTTCTTTAAGTCCTTTCTATAAGGAGTTGATCAACAAAATAATTCATGTATGCACGGGTTGTCAATCTAAGCAATGAATATGTTCAGGATCTAGGGCTGTTCCTGATCAGGTGGCAACACATTTGAGACATTTAGTGCATGGTAATTTTCACTGTAATTAGACTCATGCAGTATTATGTTATTAACCTCTGCGTCATAAAAATCGTTACATCAGTATGTGTTAGTGGGGATGAAAAAGAAACAGGAATAGCTTGTCCTTCCATGACTGTTTCTACCAACAGTCAGGCCGCTTGAGACATAATGAAAATCCATGAGACATGTAAACACACCAACAGCCAAACAAGCGGTGTGTACACAACACATACAGAGGACTTCAGGAGCCAATCCCCTTACATATACGCGCTCACGCCAACGATAATCCCACTTTACCATGTGTTGACAAACTTGGAGCCAAGGTGGAAATGGAGAATATGTCTTTAAGAGTTCAGTAGGTCATACAGAGGTTATTTAAACTGTTACATCAGATCAGTGTTTCCACCTAAACGCTGGCATGTAAACATCTGTAAACCAAATTTGACTTGTGAGCCATTGTCCCTTTTGAAGACTTACAATCGATATAAATCAGGAGCAATGAAACCACATAGATGGATGAAAGAAGCCAGATAGCTGATTAGATGAATTACAAAAGTGTTTTAAAGCTATACAAAGCACTGCATAATATAATTTCTAATTTGGCTTTAGTTGGAGAAACAGAGATGGCTCTGAATATTTTTTATGTCATATGCTGTAACTACTTGCTCCATGTGTGGTGCAGAAGTTACTTATCTTAATAAATCTGATGTTTTTTCCCCCTTATATTGAATTTTTATTCTACACATGCTAATCAATATGGATGCGATCTTTGCAGGTACCTTTACTGAGCATCTGTCATATGATCAAAGTAAGACTCTCCTGTTTTTAAAAATTATATTTTTCCTAATATGAACTATCTCTAACAGAGTAATAAAATAATAATAAATAAATAAAAAATAAATAAATAAATAAATAAATAAATAAATAAATAAATAATAAATAATAAAATAATAATAAATAAAAAATAATAATAATAAATACTAAAACAACATAGAGACCAGTTTGGACACTGAAGACATCGTGTATATTTTTCTCCATAAAGGCAATTATCTAAAAAATGGCACAATAATTGCACAAGACATCAATGTTTAGGAGTGCGAGTCCTGAGCAGCAAACAGGTGCTCTTTGGGGAGGGTGGAATGATACGATGTACCATAATTGGTTTTAGGTTTTCTTTGTTAATCTGGTCTCTTTGTTTAAAACATTTTAAATCTGTATGGTCTGAATACCTTCTAGTTATTTTTTTTTTAAAAAGAGGAAGGAACCTTAAAACCAAAAAACATAGGTATAAAGGATCCAGGTCCAGGCCCTCAGGATGGTTTAAAAAGTACAAAAGGCTTTTAATTAGAGCTAGAACATTTAAAATACACCAACACATATCAGTGTGCGCCTTCTTCAGGGTGCAGTGACACACTGAGACAAAAAGAGGAACCATCTTCCAGGTTTTGTATGTATACCGTTGTGTATTATTTGAGGTTGTGTGTTGATGTTTCTGATATTTGTATGACATCTTATGTTGCTCTCTTGCCCAGGCCTCTCATGAAAGATTATTTATTAACAACCAAACAACACATTTCCAGTATATTTCCCATAGCAAGGAAGAAATTGTTGAGTATAAATGTGCAACAGCTTTGTCAATAACAAATTCTGCAAAGTGTAATATTAGGGACTCGATATAATGGTAAGACAGTATAAACTGCTTCTTTGCACTTAGTAGCTAAATTATGATAACAGTGGGCCACTATTATAGTTACTTTTATTTTCAATAGTAAAGTATGAACTTGTTTTTGTGTACAGATGCATAAACACACGTTTAAACTGCTATGAAATGGATTGCTGTCAGACAACATTTCATTGTATTAACATGCAATGAAAATATTCTATTTACTTCGATTAATTGCCAATTTATACTATTTGTATACATTTTCAATCCTTGTTTATGTTAGGATAGATTTATCCCAATATCCTTTCCTGTTCACTGTGTAGGTAGGCACAAGATGAGTGCGCATATGCGTCCAGTGTGCGTCTCAGCGTGGGGGCTTAAGGGCCTGTAAGCTTTGCTGACAGCTCAACAGCAGAGGCAGGAGGGTCAGCTGCACCCTCACACCAACATTAACGGGCCAGAGGGCAGCATGGGAGCGGTCTAATGCTGTCCCATTCTAGAACACAGCAGATTACACATCGCTAATTTTAACAGCTGCTCGCCACTTTCTAATGCCATAACAGGAAAAACATAAATCTCAGTCAGAAATGTTAAAAGTCTGGGTTTGAATTCAACTGACTTGCAAAAGAAAAAACTCCCACGCAAACCTGAACACCTTTCTGTGGCCAAGTTTCCATTTAGTAGGTCTAAAGCTTATTAAAAACGCACAGGCTCCATCAGACGAGTGATTGTCATTTTGACTAATTAATCCCCGGGCAGTTGTCAAGGGCTGCTTATTTCACAGTATGTGTTTAATCACACGCGCAACAGCACCCACAGGGTAGGATGGAAAAACAAGCCCATCATTTTTTTTTTTTTTTTGCAAGCATCATGAAATTAATTTAGAGGTTTCAGAAATAAAGGCACTGTTTGGGACAGGCTTTGTTTGCAGCGTACCGTACACAACAAGCAGCTACAGTTTACAAATTAGTGAAAACGTGCACAGAGACGTCACCAGCGCTGACAGCAGGGGGGTGAAAATAAGTCAGTTAAAGTGATAAAGGTCAAGTGAATGTTATTGTTTAAGTTCAGGCGGAGGCAAAGTGAAAAAGTGTACTCACCAGAGCTCTTAGGAAAATGCGTTCTTCGCTGTGGAGATGAAAGACAAGACTGCGGATTGTCCACCAGCCTTTGCACCTCGCGCGCTCCCGGAAACCCCCTGGCTTAACACGCGCGCGCACTGAACGGCTAATTCCCCCGACTGTTTCATACGGGACAGAGAGACGGTGTGTTGCACATTATCGATGCATTAGGTGTGCGTGTTTGTTGCGTGGCTGCTCAAGGTTGGGGTAAGTTTTTACCCACTTCAAGAGTGCATCACGTTACATAAGTACTTATGTAAGATCTGTGAAGTATTTAAATCACAGTAAAAAATACAATATTTCCCTCTGTGGTAGTTGGATTGGAATTATAAAGTAGCAGAAATAATTTAAGGAAAGTAACAGTTAAGCCTGAATAAATGAAAAAATATCACTTTAAAACTTTCCATATCTTTAACATAAAGTTTTTAGGTTTAAAAAATAATAATAATAATTAAGGTTTTTTTGGTCGCCGGTTCAAGTCCTGGAAGTTGGTCTGGTAGCTGGAGAGGTGCCAGATCACTTCCTGAGCACTGCCGAGGTGCCCTTGGGCAAGGCACCAAACCCCCTCCCCACCATCAGCTCAGGAGCGCCCGCCGTGTGCAGCTCCATCACTCTGACATCTCTCCATTAGTGCAGGTCCATAGGATCCTGTTTGTGCATGTGTGTGTTGCATGACTTACAGTGTTAAAAACAGAAATTTCCCTTTGCGGACATCAATAAAGTAAATCTTAATCTTAATCTTTATTTTATAAAAACGTGTGCACTTAAGGAGGAATGTTCTTATTACAAACAGACAAACAAACAGACACAAAGAGTCATAACAAATGGATAGATTTGTTTTATTCTTATTTGTGCTATTGTTTTGTTTTTGTTTTATATGAGCACATGTTACTTGTATACACATAGAAAAGTTTATAGACTCTCTCCCTCTCCCTCTCCCTCTCTTTAGGTGCAGTGTTTGGATAGACAGTCACATGCTGTGACAGACAGGACAGTGTGGTGGCTTTGGGTACCATTGGCACACAGTACAGGAACCCTGAGAGGCTCCGTCTCCACGGCAGCACAACACACACACTCCTGCTCCACAGCAGATCTCTCCAGGGAGTACATGGACTTA